GGCAGCATTCAAGGCCAGGTCGGACAGAGCTTTGAGCAACCTGGCCTAGTGGAAGGTGTCCCTGCCCATGGCAGGGAATTGGAACTAAGTAATCATTAACATCCCTTCCAACCAAAAACATTCTAGGATTCTATGCCACAGAGATGATTGAAGATATCTTTATGAATATATTTACACTGTCAGAGTCTCTGGTACAGAGCATCATCCCAGCATCCTAACTCCTGTCTAGTGAGGCAGAACAAAGTCTCTGTCCCACAAAAATAGCAAGATAAAGTCTCTTTGCCTTTCCAAGTAATAAGAAGTTATCTTTATATCTGACACAAGGACACCTTATGAATCGGTTTATGGAAAAAACATTTGAATTTTGGATGCATCTGTGGGATTTCTTCATACACTCTATTTAGCAGACACATCTGTTACTCCAATATATATATTTCATATAAATTTCACTCTCTGAATCCTTTCCATCAGTTGTCACTAATGAAGCTTTGTGTGCAAAACCAAGTGCATTCTGCCCCCATTAGGAAGCCAATTACAGCAGGAAAAACAAGCAATTAACAAGGTGTAAAATAAACATCCTGCCACCTGCCTTTTAATAGCAACCCCACTTCAAACAAGTCACAGTTGCAGCACAGCTCTCAGAATTGGCAACTGATATTATATATGTATTTATGCAGCAGCTGCTCTTCATTGCAATGAATATTACAGGCTTACCAGATAAGGTCAGCATATTTAAAAAAAAAATATACAGCAAGTATTAAAACCTGCTTTGAGGCTCCAAATGTTGCTTTTAATGAAATCAGCAGCATCAGGCTTGTCTGGTATTACAGTGAAGCTGCAGCCACATCCCCAGCTTAGAGAGGTTTCTCTTCATTTCTACTTGCTTAGCAGCTTCTGTATTCATTTCACTAAATCCAGGGGCCTAGGCAGCTATTAAACAACCTGCAGGACAACTAAACAACACACAGCTCTACAGAGTAGACACAACTTTCCTCCTTTCATCATCCCTGCCTCTCCCCTCTTGGTGTTCTCCACCTTCCTCCCAGCAGCTATATACAACCAGGAGGGCACATAACTGAAGTAGAGAGCAACCCACTCAAAAACATCAAGGGGGAAACAAAACAAGCTTAGTCTTTGGTCCTTGAGCCTGCAAGCTTTTGAGGGAAAGGAGGGAAGTCCTTCCTAATTCATGTGTGCTGCCTAGCATGCTAGGTAGCTCCAGAAGGAGCCAGCTTTCTTTTTGTTTTGTGGAATGCAATGAATGACACTTCTGAGTAGTTAGCTGGGACTAGAGAAGGCTCAACAGTAAATCTGCAGGATTTGGTAGACTTGGAGTGTAGAATGTACCTGACAAAAGAGCCGCCAAGCTTTGTCTTGCCTTTTTTTATCTTCCCCTCTCACTGTCTCTCTGCTGCTACATATTTATTTGTTAGTTTTTCCATGTCACATTGCATGTCCTCCTCTTAGGGTTTTTCTCCCTGGCTTTGTTGAGATGTGAGGAGTATCACACTGAACATGGTGCCAGGAACTTACCATCCTGTACAGGATTCTGAGGTGTCAGTCAGAGCCAGCAGAGCTATCCACAGGTTTATAGAAGGTTGCAAGACATGATCAATAGTACCAAAACAATCCTTCACTGAAAACCTCTACTAAAAAGCCCTGAATTTAAATAACATTTCACTACCTCTGAACACAACTGCTACCTAACTGGCAAATCAGATCTTAAAAGCCTCAAGTCTTAAGTTGTGATAATCTACATGTATGCAGAAACAAGCAAAGTCAGTAGAAGGGGAACAACTACGGAAGGTGAAAAGCAGTGAAAGGTGAAGAGCCTCCAGACTCACGGGGATGTACACCAAAATTTGACCTACAGCAACCCATGAAGTAAATAAATAAATACGTTTCTCAGCCACTGGTTTCTCACGCTACCAGTACAAGTGCAGAGATCCCACGACTCCTTCCTACAGCCCTAATTACAGAGACAAAGTTACAAAAGACACAATCTGCCAACATGAGCTGCAGGAGGTCATATGGCCACTCAAGCTATTAAAGTATTTTAAGAGTAGTTCAGTAAGTCAGGTCATTTAACTGACTTTTTGTTCAGTTTTAAACATGTAGCAATATTTTCCCTTACATTTTATGGATGGGAGAGGAAGCAGGACCTACTCCTTAGTCACCAGTGTAGGATGTCAGTACTCATCACTAACAATGCCACAAAGTGGTCATGCCTCGATGACTTTTGTGGATCTAAATCCACCAAGAAATGCCAAGTCTCAACCCAACAGTGACGGTGGGACAAAACATTATCAGCCTTCAAAAGTTGTTCAGATCACAGTAAGAAGTCCTGTACTGCATTAACCAATAAGTGGGATATATTATCTGCAATGCCCCACCACAAAGCTTCACATGACAGAAGCTGTTCCAGAAGTGTATCAGAAAAGTAGTCCATTGTTCTCAAACATACTTCTATTTGGTTAGTTCTAAGGAAGCCTTTTCTGCTCAATGCGGAGGAGCACTCTGATGGGTTTCCTGAGCAGCAGGCTGCCTGAAGGCACAAAGAATCAGCAGTTCAGGGACTGTTGCTTATTGAAGATGGCAAGAGACCAGAAATGGAACTAAAATTTCCTCTGAGAAAGACCTATGCAGTTGTAGCTGCAGTTCTAGGAGATAGGACTCCGATTCCTGCAGTTCTTCAAAGAATGTTTAAAGAGACCTAATTCTCCAATTCTTCCAGTCCTCATCCCTCTTCAGAAGGATGGCTGAAGAGTCTAGATACTTCTGTATATTTAGTATTTGACTAAATACTAAACTGCAACAGCTGAGTGTCACTCTGCAGGCACCCTAATCACTGTTAGCTACAGTCTGTAAGACTCTGATTCCTGATAGTCACATGCATGCACATCCTCTCCCAGCAAGTATTTTAAACAGACTTCTGTGGTTTGGCAAAAGGTCAGATTAAGCAGAGGGTACACGAAGTTGAGCAGAGAATATTCTCAGTATCTAGCAGTCTCTCCAGGTCATACATCATAAAAATCCTTACATTTTCTGGGATCAAAGACGCTACAGCCATAAAAGACCTATTAGTTCATTAAGCCCATTACCCAGCCAAAGCAGGTTATCCGGGAAAGAAGTAACAAAGTCATAGTATTACTGTGAGAACAAGCTGAATAAATTTTTCTTTGAAAAGGATGCAAAGCAAAGACAGATACAAGAACTAGGTCTGAAAGTTAAAATCCAGTTGTTTTCAAGAAATAAGCAACCACATTTCTACAAGGCGGCCAATAACACACTATTCTACATCTCACGATGTGGCTCTGCCCCCAAGCCTCCATGACAGCCCCTCTTTCTCACTCCCACTTGCAAATTCCCATCTCCAAACACAAACATCTTTCACTGCAGAGTTCAGTAAGAAAATTCCTTTGGAGACCTAGTGCTGAAAATGCACCAAAGAACAATCTCCAAAATCCACCCTCCCCCCAAATAAATAAATAAATAAATCAAAGGAGAAAAAGAAAAGACAGTTTGGCTCCCTCTGGCCTACAATAACAATAATTATAATAATCTAGAGATCGCAGGAGGTTTCATCTACCCTCCATGCCAAGTAAATTCTCTCCATTCACAACTGCTTGTAATTGTTCCTGGGACTGCAAAAATTAGTCTTTTCAGTAGCAATCACAACTGTAAAAATGCTTTCAAACAACTTCGAACCCTTATTTGTTAGAATCAAACTATGTGCTCTTTTACAGTTCAAGTTAGGTCTGGCATTTCTGTGCAGAGGGTCAATAATCCAGTCATTCAAAAAATAGTCACGAAAGACGTATTAACATAAGCTGTGCATTAAGACACAATTATTTATACGCCTGGCAGTAATGGCTCTGCGCTGTGCACTCTACCAACTCACAGACACTTTCGCAGGAAAATAAAACGCTTTTGGAGAATTTCTGCTCTGCCCAAGGAAATTAACATAACGCTAACGCTGTAACGAGAGAGCAATAAGGACTGATGGCATTCAGGCTAATGCTTTATCCCAGAGCCTCCAGAACAGCAGCGTCTGTCCCTGAAGTTTCCAGCCACCGCAGCATGCTTCCCTATGTGCGCTAAGCACACACAGCCTCCTGACGCCTAATGCTTCCCCAATCCTTAGATTAATGAAATACAAGTAAACAGTTTCAAGATGCATTATCCTCTGCTACCAAACCTCTCCTGCTTGGGGTGCCAAATAAAACCGGTTGCTTTGCCTGCAACCGGCCGTTGCCTCCCGAGCAAGGGGAACTTCCTTGCTCCTCAGGTAGGGGGGAAACGCTCCTCTTGGCGCAGGCTGCGCCTGTGGCACTGCCCTGAGCAGCAGCGATGCCCCGAGGGCACAGTTACCTCTGCTGAACAGTTCATTTTAGTTTTAGCCGTGCACAGGGTACAGCGAGACGGAGCAACACTCAAAAGTTAAACGGGACAGCGTCGAGCCCAATCTGACCCCAGAGTTAAGAACTCCCAGCAAACCAGCAGCCACGACAGCGCCCACAGCTCGACCGGGACTCGAGGACGAGTTTGCCTTCAAAGAAGCAAACGCTGTCCGGGCTGTGCAGGACACCCAACAGCCCTTGGGACGGGAGGAGGGAGAGCGGAGCGGGTCGCACACAGGCGCTCCTGCCTCCTCCCGCCTGAGAAGAAACAGCCCCAAAGGAGCACTGTGCTCCCTCCCACAGGCGCGACGCGGCGACAAGGCAGCCGCCTGCCGAACACTGGGGACGTCCCGACCGGATCCCATCACGGCACCCACCCCCCCAGCGGGCTCTGCCTGGGGAAGGACAGGCTCTCCAGCCGCGGAGCCATGGCGGGCACCGCCGCCCCTGCCCGTGAGAGAGCGGACCCCGGCGTGGTGCCCAGTCCCACAGCCCTGCCCGCCAGGGTTCTCCTCATGCTCTCCCCCTTCGTCAGAGAGCGCTGGCGGGTGCCGGGCTACAGCCACCAGTTGCGCTTCCCGCCCCGGACGGCTCCGGTACCTCAGCCAGGATGGGATGAGAAGTCTCGCCGCTGCAAAAGCCGTTTCGCAATGCAACAAGTGCCCACCCGACCGGGGACGGGAAAGAGGAGGAGCCGGGGCGGGCGCCGCGCTCCCTCACTCGGTAGCTCTCGCCGCCGGTGCCGCCGCTCCGCGCCCCTTGCGCCCCAGCTGCCGCTCAGGGCGCCACACGCGAAACGCGAAAACAAGCCCGCCCCGCGCGCCAACTCTCTTGAGCTGCCCGGGACGCCGTACTCCAGGCCGCTACCATCTGCCCGCCCTGCGCAGAAAGAGGGGTGCACCGGCCCGCCTGCCGGCCCGCCTCCCGCCCCGCCGCTGTGTCGGCCAGCCCTGAAGCGGAGCGTCTGCCCCCGCCTCGCCGCACTGGTACTGCCCGGGCAGGCGTTACGGGAGCGCGGAAGAGTTGTTGGGGTACGGTAAGAGCCGCTTCGTAGGGCTACGGTTCTGTTGGTGCTTGAGAACGGGAGCTTCCTCGCCCCCATGGGGTGGTGATCGTGGCGAACCAGTACCGGCCTCCCCTGGCCCTACACCCGTACACCCCTCCCCGGGCCTGTTTCCGCCGCCGCGGGGCAGGCGTAACGCGCGGCCGGGCTCGGGCCTGGCCGCTGCTCTCCTGGTCGCAGGGTGCGTGTTGTCTAGCCCAAGCCGCCCTGGCCGGCTCTGCCTGCCGCAGGAGCGATGCGGGCCTGGCCGCGGTGGTGAAGCGCAGCCTGATGGCGTTGCACCGTTGTAATTCGGCACGTCCGTACTGCAGGCTGTCCTCTCTCTGTCACGTAGGGCCTTGAGCTGGTGATGGAGGCGTCGACAAGTCCCGTGTTTCTTTTCTTATGTTTGAATATTAACTAGTAGTCATTTTGCAGAGGTGTGAAACCGTTTTTTTTTTTAATGTTACAGCTACACTGCAAGAATGATCATCCCAGTCAGATGTTTCACATGCGGAAAAATAGTTGGAAACAAGTGGGAAGCCTATCTTGGCCTTCTGCAAGCAGAGTATACAGAAGGGTGGGTATTATTTCTCTATGTTCTTTGAGTCAGGTGTTAGATGAGATCGCACAGCGCATAAGATACCTAAGTGCAGGGTCATGGCATTATGAAGTAGCTGTAAAGAGGCTAAAAACTACTGGTAAGTTCTGAAGCTAATGATTTAACCAATGGATAGACATTATAATCGGTGAGAAAGCACTTGTTTCCCTACTGAATCTTTCTCTGTAGTAGGGTGGAATTTGCCAAGTCATAACTTTTACACTCAAACCAGTCTCAAATACTTAACTCTGTATGGAACAGGAAGGAAAGTAACAAGCAGTATAGCCAACTATGACACCGGTATGTTTTGGTTTTTTTTTTAAAGGTGGGAGAAAGGAGTCACAAGTGTAAGAAGTAGCACTGTTAAAAATATATACACCTTTTAGGTTTTCTTTAAAGCATTTTGTGTTTGCTATGCAGAACTGCAGACCTTACTTGAAAGCGCTGGTTTGCAGATGGGGGAAGGAGAAGTTCAGCTGCTTCAGATGCCTGACTGATACTCCCAGCAACTGTGTTTTCAGTAGTCTGGGCTTTGCATAGCCAGACTTTTAATCTGTGCTGGCCAGAGCTCATGCTAGTGGCATAGTCTACCATGTCTTTAAGTCATAATAGTTCAAGGAGGGCCTAGCTATGATGGGACTACTTCAGAAAGGTTTCACAAAGTAACTCTTGAGAAATCTTTACACTGTCATTGAGTTTAAGTAGGAAAGAAAACACAGATGTTTGTAATTCAAAGGAATGGAAAAAGAAAGTGTTAGAAATTTGAGTAAACCTCCTGAAGTGATGTTGAAACTGTTAAATAGAAGGGAGTATTTGCTTTGCATTCAAATGGTTAGGGTTAGTAATAGGTTTTTAAACAGACTGATATCTATGAACTTTCAGAAGAGTGTCTAATACAAATTTCACTGCCTTTTTTCCAAAGTAAATCTGAAAACATTCTTGTGGTTTAGGATACTGTTTTGTCAAATGTTAAACACGGGAGCACAGAACAAAGCGTAGTTTTTTGAGCCTAATCTAAACTTGTAGGAAGGTGTGATTATTCTCCGTGCTTATTGCTTGATGTGGAGTTTGCAGCGGAAAGAAGTTTCATTAAAAACTGTCCAGTGAAATACCATTCAGTAGTTCTCCTAAATGTCATTACTTCTATGGGTGTCTTTTTAGAGTGCATTTACATCCCAGAACCTGTCAAACCTAGCTGAGTAGAAGATTGCAGTGGCTAAACTAAAGGTATTTGGAAAGTCCTACTGAAAAAATTTATTTTTCTTTTCATTCATGGAGTTAAAAGCATTAAAATAGTGTGGGAAGCGAATCATTTCTCACTAATACTGAAAGTGATCAGAACTATTTTGGCATCACTTTTGATTTATTTTCCAAGTATTACATTTTAATATTTTTCCTGTCTTCATTATTTCTCTGCTTTTGTGTGGGACAGGAAGATGTACATTGTTACTGATGAGTGCTCACTTGAGAACTATTGCTATAGTCACTGGTGTGATTCTGGGATGCCTGTTCAAACTAATGCATTTATGAGATTGTAAGATCAGAAGCAGAGTTTACAGATATTGAACAGTTTAAAAACTTGTAGTGCAGTGTCAGCATCCCTATTAATTGTGACTAAGAAATGGACAGGCAAAATGGAAAAAATAACCATGTCTAAGTAATTTGTGGTTAAAAAAGACCCACACCTTTCCATTTGTCCCTTAAAATTGCTCTTCTTCCAAAAGCTCTAGAAGAAAAAGGAAAAGCTAGAAGGGAAAAGCTAGAAAAGAAGCTAGAAGGGAACGGGAAACACAACTGAAGTTGTTTTAGCCGAAATGTGTATATAGTATGAATTCTAAAGATGTGATTACTGTCAGTATTCTGCATCTCTGATAACTGCATTTGAAAGTTCAGTATTTACCAGATACCTCTTAAAAACTTACATCTCAACAGACATCAGATGCTTTCGTTCTCAAGTGGTTTGGAACATTTAGATATTATTTATAAAAAATCTTTTCTAAAAATACACTGTTCATATACTTCTTAAATAACTTTTGCACGTGCTAGTCCTAAAACGAATAGCCCTGCTCTTTAAGCCCTTGAAGAACCGTTGAAAGGTACAAGAACTAATTGATGTCATCAGAGAAGCTGCTTGAAGCCGAACAACCTCTTCCATGGCCCAGCTTATGCAGAGCCTTCTTTTCAGTCATTTGTACTTAGAACTGTCAGTTTCTTCCTATAGCAGAATTGCAGGCTTCAGGAAGTTATACTGGTTTTAAGCAAATGCTGGATTTTTGCACTGCATCATACAGATCTAAAGACGAGTCATATTTCGTGAATGTCAGATTCTGAAGGAGTATCAGACTGGCTTTATGGTTAATAGGTTGGAGCTAAAGAGCATGGAAAATGTCACTTATCTTTAAGAGGTCTGATAGCAATGGCCGTTGAAGACACATACAGTTGTTCAGGCTAGGATGACTCATTTTCACTACCCAACCATAAGAGTCTCAAGCAGTAACTCAGAAGGAATTAAGTGGAAAGACTGTATTGAGCAGTCTGCACATCCTTATTTGTGTATTTGTGGGGAACAGGTTGTAACACAGAATGCCTTCTTATATGGGAACTGGAAAGGATTTTTGCCTTCCACAGAGTTAACATCCCATCCATATGTGGGCTGGTTTGCATTTTGAGTTATTTTAGTTCTCTATCTCTCACCCTTTTAACATGGCTTAGATCACAAATTTATCTCATGAGGTAGTCAAGTATCATCCTTACTTTACAGAAAAGTGTTAACAGTACTTAGAGATACTAACAACAGCATGGATAATGATGCTCAGAGATGCTATTCCTTATTCCTGTGTCAGGATACTGTCTAGTGCCTTCGTGCTGTGTTCTACCATGCAGCTAGCAGGAGCTGTAACCAGTGCAGGTAAAATCCTAGACAGACCACAGTTAAAGAGTGGAAATGACTTCCCATGTTTCAGAACTGTGTGCTGAAACCCTCACATGTCTTGATCAATCCTGATTTTAACCAGATCAGCTCCTCTCTTCTCTGCAGACTGGTGTTTGTAAAAGGAAGACTAAGTTACTGTAACTAAATAATTGAGTTTACAAATGTACCGTATTTCAACTCTCTTTCCAGCTCTGAAGACTAAAATTTTATTTCCAAAAATCAAAGTATGTGCATCTTACTTAACCTTGCTGTTTCATGAACAAATATGCTCTCATGAGTGGGATGGCTCAGAAGAAGAAATCTGTAAGAGTTAAGTCTGTTCTGGTTCTGTTCCTATGGGAGTTCTGCAGACTTACCTCTGGAAGTTTGGTAGCTGTGTCAGCTAGATGCTGGCTTCGACAGAGATCATGTGCTCTTGCAGGCCAGAGAATGGGCAAACACCCTGTCAACAGCAGTAAATTGAACATTAACAGCACATGCTAAATTTCTGTTCCTTAGTTTGAACTGCATACAAGTTTCCCTTTATGACTAAGCTCAAAGTAATCAGTATGTTGCTTAGGAACACTTACAAGTGGTTCTGACACACTTCATCCATTATGTTTTTTTTGTTGCTGTTCATTAATAGAGATGCCCTGGATGCCCTTGGTTTGAAGAGATACTGCTGCCGCAGAATGCTCCTGGCCCATGTGGATCTGATTGAGAAGCTTTTGAATTATGCACCCCTGGAGAAATGAGATAGATGAACAAAGCACCACACTGCAAACTACATGAAATTGATTGCTAATGCTGAACTTGAAAGTGGACTTCAGGTAGTAAAAGATGAAAGCCACCTGTAATGTAGCCATTGAGAGATGCTCACCTTCTGGAGAAAATACTGCCCCAACACACTAACCTCTTTCAAGGAAACAAAGGAAAGATGAAGTCCATTTGACCAAGATTTGGAGATGAAGTTAAATGTTTGGATGCTTCTTTTTTTTAAATCTGTGTTTGGAGTTGTTTTGTGAACTTTTAGATGCAGCTGCCAGCAAAAATAATTGTTTATTCATATAGAGAGATTACTATATTTCATTAAAATGTTAAAGGAGGTCCTCCCCTGTAGACTTCCTACAGTTTCTGGACAGAGTGTGTGCTTGGATCTTGCCATTTGCTTGTGCTGGTTTCTTTGAGGTTAGGAGTACTATTAAGTCTGGTGCTTTGCACTAGGCAGGCAGAGGGATTAGAAACATGGGACTGAAGCTCAGTGTTCCAGCAACAGGGAAGTGGGTAAATTTGGTAAGAATGAGGCATTACTGCTGGAGCTAGCAGAGCGTACTTCTCACTGCAGTTAAAGTCAATGTGTGGTCTCTATCCCAGTTCTTACGAAACACTGCAGCTGCTGTATTATAAAGAGCAGGGCATCAGATGGTGCAGTGCCCTTCAGTTAGGTAAAACATGCATGAGTGTTCTATGGAAAGCACTTGATGTGAGAATTTACGCATGGTGGTGTGAACAGGAGCAAAGTTTTGATCTTGCCAAGCACCTGTACCTCCCTGTAGCTGGTACACATGCAAGCTTTCCACTTGCTTGTCATTTCACTGGCTTCATGTTGTGCTGTGCAGGTGGTGTAGTACTGCCTGGTCAAATGGAGGCTGTCCTGGTAGAACCAAACACAGAGAGGTCAGCTGTACATACAAGGCTTGTGAAAGTTACCTACATGGGGAGACAGGCACTGACCCTTCCAAAAGGTCTCACCTTCCTGTTGTGCTGTCGACTTGAAAGTTGAGGGTGTTTCATGCTGTTCTCCAACATCCAGAAAATGCATAATTCAGGTGGTGTGCAGAGGTAGACACACGCACCTTACCTGAAAATGAAGGAGGCCAATTCCTATATCTGTGAACGCTCAGGATTCTGTTCAAATGCAGCATTAGCCCATATGCAAATGTAGGACAAATCATCGTTACAGCAGCCTTTAGAAAACAGGCTAGAACAGATGATGATCCCTGAGCTTGCAGCCTGTTATTCCTTGGTACAGTAAAACTTTTGGCATTCACGTATTGGCTGCTGGGTAAGAAGTATCTCGATTTTTTTTTTTTTTTTTTTTTTTTTTCCATAGTTGAAGAACCACAGAGAAGTTGAACAAAACCTGGGTTTCCAGGTCAAACATGTACACACAAACCTTGAAACTAGATTGTCTCACAAAATAAGTTGCAGGTCAGCTTGCCTTTGGCTATCACCCCACCAATCTTCACACTTGAACTTGCTTTTCAATTTAGTACAGGGCAATAGTAGATGTTTCCCAAATTCAGCAGTTGTTCACTGAAGATGTTTTAAAACCATATGCTTTATCCTAATGCAAAGAGAATTAAGCAATTAAATCTGGTATTCGTTTCATAGTTGACTGGATAGCTCATGTTCAGCATGCCTGCTGTATTAGCTAGTTAAATGCACTTAAACAAAATTTCTCTTTCAAGCTGTTTTATAAAAGGGACACTGTAAAATATAGGATGACCTTTCCAAACTGAACTCCTGTAGGACATTTGTCCGTGTTCCAGTGGAGCGTTACATGGAGATACGTGCCAGGTTGCTCACAGAAAGATCAGAATGCCAGGCCCAGCACTCACTCGTGAGCTGTACCGAGAAAGTGCAGCAGCCCAGGCTGGTACATCTGGCAGAGGCAGCTGCGCGTTATGCCGTGTGGAAAGCTGTCCTGCATCGGTGCCAAAGAACTGGATTAGACGATCTGACAGGACTGTGCTTCTATCTGCAAAAGCAATTTTCTAATCTAGTTTTCTGCTTCAGAATTACATGTTTCTTCTCAAAGCTGATGCCGTTGTCCAATATGAAAAGCTATGGCTCTTAAACACTTACAATGAAGATGCAATTTGCAAAAACACAGCAGGCCTCATTCAAAAAATTGAAGGAAAAATAAAATCTGCCTTGGTTGCTCTCATTACTATTTCTCAGACAGAAAACATGGTGCAGAAGAAGACGGTGGCAGTCTGGTATCACTTTGTCAGACAGACGTTACAAAAAGAGCAGGAAAAAAACCTGAGCAGCGAGACTAAGCCACAGCAGGCAGTAATACTACCTCCTGCAGTACATGGCTACCTCTCTGCATCACAGCCTTTCCTTGGGAGTTTGCACATGCAGCATTGACCAAAAAAAAACATTTCTATAATGTGGAGAAGCAAATGGTTTATCATGTTCATGTGAAAGGTTGTCTCAAGAGTTTTGTCCTTGGGAGGGTTAGGGACAGCAGCAGAGCTTAAATTCTGTTCTGTAAAGAGACAGTGAATTTTTCAGTGCATTTCTATAAATCCCAGCTTTCACCCCTGCTCACTGGTAAGTAAGAAAGTAATTCCCTGTCTGCTGTCATTTCTCCTGTGCTTGCTTCTGCAGCTGTTAATAACGTAAGTGCATTGGATCTGCTTCTTGACCTGCCAGATCTCTTAGAGAAGAACCATTAAATATGCTCACAACCACCAAATTGTTTAAAGCCAATGTGAAAGACACGTGTATACACGCATGCACACACACACAGAAAAAGCCTTGGTTTTCACTGAGTCCTAATAAAAAGGAGCCCTTAGCAGAATCAACAGACAGGCAGAAGTGGCAAAGAGAGAAATTGTACTGAATATGCAGCCTTTAATTACATGTGGAAACCTGTCAACTGGAAGCTTGCTGAAAGAAAAACCCAACAAAATCCCACCAGTGCTCCGTAGTCATTCAGTCACTTCATATATAAAGCATTTTGTGAATTTTTCAAGTCTGTTTTGAAAGACTGTTGCAGGGCTCACACCTGCTACTGGAGAAGCAAGCACCACTGGAAGTATAACGGAAGAGCCCCCAGTGCCCAGGCTGCAGCCTCCCAGGCCAGGACAGCATCAGGCAGGACTTTCACACCCCACTATCATATAAAAATAATGAAGTAGTGCCTGAGAAGCATGTGATGGGAGTTGAGGTCATGAAAGTAGAGAGGAATCTGCTCGTGAAGTCCAAAGGCGGGCTTCTACCTGGAGCATCAGCACCCAGGTATGTGTGTGTCTGGAAAGCTTTACATTTCTTGACAGTTTTAACCAAAATAAGAAACAAACCTCTTGCTCACAATTCTGAGTCCATATGCAGGAAGGAAGGGAAGTGCTTTCATGCCTATCTGTAATGAGCCTCAAGCCTTATATTTCGAAAGCTTAGCTCCAAAAAATCACCCCTTGTGAGCGTCGCACCCCAGGGTGATTTACTGAGAGATCTGTGCTGGGTTTTTGTCTTCCTGTATCCTCTACCTAAATGCAGCCTGCAACTGGATACTGAACTCTGACTTCTTGTCTATATGAAGTAAAACGGAACTCCGAAAGTCCTGATTGCAACCAGTGCACAAACCCATAGCTGTATGTTTCCATTGAAATGCCTAACTAGCCCTCCGACTACAAATCCAGATTTCTCTGGTAATGAACTATGAGGATCCAGAACATGAGCTACCTCTTTACCTGCAAATAGCTCTAAAGGAAAATACAATTTGGCCTTCCCTGCAAAAAACAAAAACAAAAACCAACACCACCAGCAAAACCAAATAGCCCATTTGCCTCTAAAAGCATTCCAAAGTAGTTTCTAACTTCAATACCAATCCAAGTAAGAAAGTAGCACTTCTACTTAGTCCCCTCTCTGAACAGATTCATGTACATCCATTTAATCATAGTTAGCCAGTGAGATTTTCTTACTCCTGGAACTTTTCAGTTGAGACATCTCCAAAATAATGTTATTTCCACCTGTCCCTTACTGCCCAGATGATGAGCACAGCTTTGATTTCCCCTTCAGTGCATTTCTGCCATGATTTACATTGTAGCTTTGTTTTCAGATCCAATTTTTATTCAATTCCTCCAGAAAGGAAAGCGTTTTTGATTGTTCAATAGGGACAGCACAATAGAGATGTTTGAAAACCAAGGACAGGAAGCTTGTGGCTGAGACTTCGGCTTTGCTGAGCTGCACAGTTTGATGTATTGCCCACTGAAGTCTGTGGGAGTCTTCATTAACCTCAATGTGACTTAAAATGGCCTGGTAGCATAAGCTGCGTGCACCTCATGCACATAAGGCCATAAAAACAGGCAAGAAGTTATCTTTGGCTTCAGTAACTCCAGCTGAGGGGAGCTGCAAAGCAACTGATTTCACCTTGGGCTAGTGCTTGGAAGCAATACAGTATTTACATGGGACTTAGTCTCATTTAAGCCCCCATCTCTTTCTCCTCGACACTCCCTTACAGAAATAACGTAGGTGATATAGAGCCAAGACTCACAGAGAGCATTAGCTTTCGCCTAACCCCTGATCTTATTTCTCCTTCACAAAAGCAGGTCTTTCAGACTTTGTCAGTCACCCGTTCTGGTGACCTACATCTTGTCTTGTGCTTGTAGGTAACACATGGCTGGGGTGAAGACACGGACCTCCCAGGCATCACACGGGTTTCCCCGTAAGTTCCTTCCTGATGCATCTGCTCCCATAGCAAACATTGTGTCTTGTAACAGCCAAGCTAGAAAATTAATGCAGGAAAGTCCTTCACTTTTCCCTCCCAAATACAAAGGAAGTGTGGTAATAAAAGTGGTTCAGTATTTCCTGCTTTCAGAAGCTGAACAAATAGTGATCAAAGACAGGCATGGAACAGCAGACAAAAAGCTAAAAGCCTGTATGCTTTGGGGAGCACAAGAAACTGACAGTTAAAGCAAACTTCATAGCAAGCAGCAAAGGCTGTGGTCAAAACCTTCCACAGGCACTGATGATGTTGAATTAACCCACACACCCCAGGCTGGATTTGGAGCTAGGAAGAATGAATACTGAATACCTGTTCTTTGGGAATCAGACCTCCTTCTTTTAAAAGCAGGTCTACTTGCAGCAATCCAAGGGATGAACTGCTTTAATAAAAGTACGAAACAAATCACTGCCACGAGTAGGACAGCTGTGCTCAGCACCCACCTTCAGCTGCTAACCTTTTCTTAGGCTGCTGCTTTGCACATTTTCTAGTGGATCACCACAGTGGTATCTACAAGCTTTGAATTACTTCAGAGATTAACATAAATGTCACTGTCCTTACCAACATCTCTCCAGACACCTGATCCAAGGGCATGAAGCTCAATGGGAATCTTTCCTTCTGCTCTGGTGTACTTTGGGCCCATTCCATTCCACCCTCTCTTTGCTTTCTCCAGGCCAGCCACATGAGCAAAGGAGACTCCCTTTGCTCATCTCCATGTAACATTATTGCTTATGTCTTTCAAAGACAGAAAAATTCTTCACCTTAAGGTGCGTATTTAGAGACAGGCCTTGACAGAACAAATAGACTCACTACACAAGCCTTGGGCAAGCCACCAGTGTGGTGCCTCAGTTTCCCTGCCGGTACTTATGAGATGGCACTCATACCACTCTTTAGAAACCATCGGGGCAACAAGGAAAAGCCTAACCTCACCCAACCCCTGGTGTTTTCTTGCCTCTCTCTTATCAAGGACCTCCATCATATACTCCCTCAAATCCTAATGGAATATCTTTAAATAGAGTTTTTTTTAAGTACTTTTTCACTGTGGATCATAGAATACAGGTTGGAATGGACCTCAAGGATCATCTGGTTCAACCTTCCTGGCAAAAACACAGTCTAGACAAGATGACCCAGCACCCTCTCCAGCCAAATCTTAAAAGTGTCCACTGTTGGGAAATCCACCACTTTCCTGGGGAGATTATTCCAATGGCTGGTTCTTCTCATTGGGAAAAAGTCTCCTCTCCTCTCCTACTCGCCAGGGAGTAACTGGTACTCATTACCCCTCATCTTTTCCATGTGACTCCTTCTGAAGAGTGTCTCTTCTTTGCAATCATCCTTTACATACTGGAACATGGTGATAAGGTCTCCCCGTAAGATCATAAGATTCTTTTCTCAAGGCTAAGCAAATGCAGTTCTCTCAGCCTTTTCTCAAACAGCTTCCCAATCCTTGGATCATCTTTCTTTGCTGCCCTTTCCTGGACCCTCTCCAGCCTGTCCACATTTTTTTGTATAGTGGGGACCAAAACTGAACATGCTACTTCAGATGTAGCCATACAAGCACTGAATGGGAAAATGAAAAGCCAGCATCCTGTTAGCTTTCTTTGTGGCAGCTGCACACTGTTCACTCATATTAAGCTGCTTGTCTACTAGGACCCCCAGGTCCATTTCCACACAGCTTCTCCCAGCCAGGGAGCAGAGCCCAGTGCAGGAACTGCTGATGGAAAGCTGCTGCCCTGAGCTTGTGCAGCAATTGAGAGATCAGCAGCATCACTGTTCTTGGCAATCTGTAAGGTATGAGAACACAGCTAAAGCCCAATTATCTCCAGCTACTCAAAGCTGCCTTGAAGTGCTTCCTCTCCCCTCCTTTTTTCTTTTTAACTAAGTCTTCCCTATGGTAGCATGTATGAAAGCGTGCTCCTTTCCAGACAGTGCTAGGAGATGGAAGGGACAATGTCCACTTAATGGAATAAGGAATAAGCAGTAATCAGAGCAGTGTCAACTACTCAGTGTTAAAGGCTGCACTTACGTGCTCCTACCTACACTGATCAGCCACTACCCACCAGCAGATAGGCTCTGCGCAGCTCTTCATCAATGCAGTAATGGTTTGTGATAAAGCCAAGCCCTCAAGCCTTCCATTTCTGTAGAAATGTAGAACTTTCATAATTGAGTTAATAAATTCTAATGCAGCAACGGAATAGCTAAAGGTTGGGCTGGAGGTATAGCAAGACATTTTGCTATATTCCCCCCTAAAAAATTATAAAACCAAAAATGAGTGCTGCTCCCAGCTGTAGGCCTTTCCTCATAATGAGATGTGCAGCCGAAGCAACTACTAACTTCAGTTTTTTAAAGAAGCAGTAGCAGTTTGACTGGGAGGTCTTCTTCCAGGAGCAGACTAGCAAATGGAAGCATAAAGTTAATAAGGGCTTGAGTGCTTCACATCATTACAGAAACGGCTCCACACGTCATCAACTTGATTGCTTTTTTTAATTATAATTGTCAAAACAGCATGAAGAAAACCCCCTTTGGATCCACTCAGCACTAAATGCAGCCCCGACAAATGGCTGCTTCCCTCCATTAAGCAATATTTCAAAAAGGCAAAAAAGTAATAATTAAATTCCACTGATGAATAATTACTTCTACTAAATAAAGAGAAACACTACTGGCCTTAGTGGCTTTCACATCAGCTACCCGAGCTGCTACTGAACCAAATGAACAACTGAAACTTACTCTAAACTCTGAATGTGATCAGCTAAACGTAACTAGAGAGAGCTTCAGGCTTTTGCTCCCTTCTGCACGTCTGCTTCCAGGGGGCTCCTCCAGCAGAAGCGGAGAAGTCACACTGCATGTGAGGTTACTGCAATATCACAAACTTAAGCTGGTTATTTGTTTCTTCTTTATTTTAAAAGCTACAATATTCAGGTACCTGAAGGAAAAAACAACCTCCGGATTTTGTCTGTTCATAAATCCATCACAACAGCTTGGGGGGGAAACAGTAAATAAGATATTGGAAGAAGAGCACAAGAGGCCAAAAGAAGAGTACCTGCCTTTGGATGTGCTATTTGCAACCGAAGCCAGGTACCAGGCTGTGATATTAGTACGTGGTATTGATTTGTTCTTAATCCAGAGAAATGCCCCTGTAATGAACTCTGCTGTGCCTTTAATGATTTCATATTGAAGGATGTTAGGTGCCTTGCTCATAACAGAGTAACAGCAATTCCAAAAATAGCAAGCCTCATAATAGAATGTTATTGAGGAGCCTGAATTTCAATATAAAAGGGACTCTGCAATACTCAAGGGCTTACTAGATACAAATGCATACTTTAAAAAGTTGTATTAAAGTCATGTTGGTGCCTGAGTTACAGAGGAAATGTGAGATGCTACTCCAGGGAGCAGCTGAGCCCCAGGTCCCCTGGAAACTTTTAGGCAGATGTGATACAGGCTGGATTTACTCCCACCAGATGAATGGGGCTGGATGCCTAGAAAGCAGTGAGATGCTTTTGCAAGCTGCCTGCAAGGGACACGGTGCTCCTTGGTGACAAACAGGGACAGCACAGCAACAGGGTGCTGGACCAGATGCCATGTGCCTGATGTTGGCTCTGCCACTCACCCCCCAGCCTTAGGCAGGAACCTCCCAGTAGGCCACCAACAAGCTGCCATTGCAACTGGTGCAAGTAGGCTTGCAAGAAAGGGAAGCCACCATCAGCTCACCAGCGGGAAGAAGCCGGCATCCTCACAAGCTCAGGGCCACCGCAAATTGCTCAGAGCTGCGAGCACCAGATCTAGGGTGGACCTCACTTAGAGGTGAATCCTCAGCTTTAGCTTCACCAATGCAGCAAACAGCAGCCCAAGTTGAGCCTGACAGCTCTGTCATGTTGAGAGTATAGAGATTTGGCAGAAAATAACCCCCTTGTGTTCCAGGCAGTCCTCAGAGATCAGAGGGCAGGGTGCAGCTGGGCTTAGCTTCCGATTACAACCAACCTGCCACTGTACATTTAGTCAGTCACAATTAGTAAGAACTTTCACAATTACAGATTCGCAAATAGTGCGGTTCATTGAAGCAACGGAAACACAGATTCAGAGTGTGTATTGCCGCTGCTATACAACACTGCCATTGATAAATTCACTTACTGCAGCAGCACTAAAATCCAAAGCTAGCCAATGATTGGTAATTCATTAAGCTTAGTTCCACCCAAGTATCTTCCAACGTAGTCAGAGATGCAAATCTTACTAAAGGGGAATCCCTGCTCTGGGGAGGAGAGAGGAGCAAGCCCATCAACTTGTCTGTAGAGTCATACTCTCATCCTCTGCCCATCTGGAGGGGTTCAAATACCAAATTTATCATTTTGAGAGAAGTGGAGATGAGACTGTAGTCAAATTACCTGCTGCTGCTGTCACAGGTGTTGGGGGGGGCAGACACTTTCTCACTGTGATGCATTTTTAATATGTAAATGAGGGAGAGTTTCAATTGCCTTCTGTCAGGCTGCTCAAGGGTCCTGGGTCTTGTGCAAGGGCAGAACGGAAGGGTGAATCACATCTCTCCCTCTTCCACCTGGCTGAGGTGGGAGCAGTAAGGGTGCTCAGGCCTCCACCTGATACCCTTATCATCCCCATCAGGATGTTGCAACGACCACACCTTGTTAATCCCTTCACCACGTATCTCAAGGCTTCGTTCCTACAGCAGCCAGGCTACCTGCAGTGTTGCAGCCTCCAAAACCGAAATCCACCCCAAAAAGGGCTGTGGCAGTTGCTGCTTTTCCCCCATGTAGGGACAGGGATGCTGCAAGGGTTGGGATGTGACAGACTGGGCCAGACATGCATCTCACCAGAGCAGGGCACCAGGGGCTACTCCTGCCCTCAGCCAAATAAGCCAGCTGATGGTGGTAGCATGTCAAGGACATCTCTGGCTTTCTATAAGCACTGCAGCAGTGCAGGATGGGCTACAATGAGAACAAAACAGCTTCATTTCTCCCACCCTGCAGCCTTTCTTTCAGCACACAGCTCTATTCTTGGTCTGGACTGCTTTTGTCTCAAAGCACATCTCTGCCTGCAGCTCAGCCACTGTGCTTAGGACAGTGTCACTGGGCTCGACCACAACCCGTTCTGTTTTGACTGGTGCCAAATCCCCTTTCCTGGGCTAGAGGTGCAGAGGGAAGACCCAACCCTGCAAAGAGCCGCCTGGGAGCTGCTTCTGGCCTTCAAATAACTCCCCTCATGGCACCAAGTGGTTTCATTAAGAGCAAACTGGGGCATCTCCTGCCACCTCCAGTGGACTGGGGGGGGGGAGGGAACGGACAGGATTTAATTAACTGGAGGAGACAAGGAGTGAACATTTGCTTCCTACAAGCCCTGACAGGGAGCTCAGAGCTTGGCTTATAGGTTATCCAGGAGAGATGTAGTCTGAAAAAAAAATCCATTAGCTCATTTATGTAAATAAAGGCAAAACTTATGTATAAAGGCATAATTGCCATAATTATAGCCTGGTTTTCTGCCCAGAAGATGGTGTCAGCGGGGCTGCCCCTGCCTGCAAGCTCCCTGCACAGGGTAGGTGGAAGTGCCTGAGGGTGCTGTGGCTCCTGTCTCCTCCCTCCAGGACACCTTCCTGGACAAAAGTTGCATTAAAATCCAGGCCAGAAAAGTGAACCTGTTCCCCTGAGCTGGCTCTAAGCAGGTGATTCAGGAATTGCCTCCCTCTCTCCAAACCCCCTCTCTACTTTAGGCTAGTCCCTGCTTCTACTTAACCCACAGGCTGGCAGCACTTTCCCCCCTTGGGAGATGACAGGCATCCTTGGTTCCTGTCTCCTGGAAGGACTCTGAATCTTAAAGCAGTGAAACAAGAGCATCTCTCCAGTGGTGCGTGGAGAGCAGAAGTTATTTGCATTCATGTTCCAGAAACCTCTGCTGCAAGAGCAGAACCAAGTTTACCCAAAGCTCCAGGCTAGAAAAAAGAATTGCTGATGCTAAATCAGAGGCTGCAGTTTGGTACCGATTTGTGTTTCCTATTGTTGGTTTCAGGAGAGGAGTGCACTAGAGTTCAGCAATTTTATAAGGTCGTAACTCCTTTGAAGCAGTATTTTTATTGTTATTCAGATTATGGGCAGAATTTAAGTGGTGCCATCAGGACCACATGGAGCTTAGCACAGCTTGTACAGACACTAAAAGGAAGTTTTCAATCTAAGGGGACAAGGAAAAGGAAGTATGATTGGAGGGAAGAAAGAAACACTGATAGGAATTAATTTGTCGCCATGCTTAGCAGCCTTGAGCAGCAGCTCTCAGGTGCAGGGAAGCTTCGCTCTCACTCAGGCAGGCACAGGATGGACTTCTGCAGTGCTTCGTGCTCATCCACTGACATCCAGCACCAGCACCAGCACCAGGAATCTCTGAGTATCCCATCGCTTCACTAAACGGGTCACTGAGCTCTGCCAAAAACCCTGATGCAAGAGCTGTCCTCAAACCTCCTGGCAAACTGGGGACACAACACCAGGCTCCTGTATTCCCAGTCAGCACCTTAACCACATCCCAGGGACCCACGGCTCTGCCTGGGAAATACTGCTGCTTCTCACCCACGTTTGTTTAAATTCAATTTACTTCCAGTTGAAGGTAGCGTTGTTTTTTGATGAAAAGGACACCAAGAGCCCACATTTGATGAGACTCTGATTTTAATAGCCCCATCCAGTGCCATTCACTATGGTAAGTGAACTATGCTTTACATTTGGGGTTGAGGGGTTTTTTTTTGGTTGAAAAAATACGTATGCAGCCACCTTTGCAGTTGTTCTATGAGTTAGGGCTCCACTTCCTGTTTTGGGGTTCAGGACTGTTTCATTTGGAAGTGTGGACAAACCTCAGAAATGTTTCCTTTGAGTAACTGCCACAGGCTGCCAAGCTAGAGCCCAAAGAACTGAATCATTCATGAGCCCATTCGCAGAGCACAAGGCACTCAAGGAATGAAAGAACAGGTCATCCTTCAACTGACTGCTATTAAAACCTTTCATTAAAGTCCTGGAAGAGAGCAGCAGGAGAGGGAGGAAGAAGGAAAAGGAAATAAATTATAACCTCAATCACGTCTGTGGATCGATGAAGGAGGCATGGAAAATGCAAGGAAGGACAAAATGTGAATTAGCCTGGGATATCTCAGAAAGTTGGGCACATTTAAACAGGACAAGATTTAATTTAGATAAATATAAAATGGTACCTGACAATGCTCAGCATGTAAGAGAGGAATAACATGCAAGAGGAGCTGTAAGAGATGGGTGTGGAGGGACATGCTTTCAGGTATCATTTTGTAGTGGTATTAGCGGTTATTTTGGCCGGGGGGAACTGAGCTGGCATCCTCTGGGAGTGGAGATAGCAGTTGCAGTCCTAATCCCAAAACCAGAGCCTGGTGCCTCACATCTCAGGCCATCACTGGTTAACACTGCATCCCAGAATGGGCAGCAAGAAATCAACCAACCTGTTTTATACCGGTGTCTAAAACATCCTGGGAAAACAACTTGTCAGTTAGGACTGCTTGGGAGGCTTAAAAGGTGATTAAACAGGCAGCTGTCCCAGGAACGTCCCTATTCTCCAGGAAAGGGGAGGCTTTGACTGTAATTAAAATATGCTCTATGAGCACATGAGCAGTGCAGGCAGCTCTCTGCAAGGACACCTCACACCAGGAGTCCCCCAGCACTCATCACATCCTTGCCATGAAACAGTTGCCTCAGTTTCTCCTGCAAAACAAAGCAAGAGGCTTAAGCTTAAGCTTTTTGGTACTGCCCTCCGTTCCCCAGAGGGAGATGCTGTGCACTGATGCGGGCACCTGCTTCCTGCCTGCATCAGTGAGGTGCCATTAGACATAAGTCTATTTATTTACAGCCAGTGGCAGGTAGGACACACAGCTGAATGTTAAGGGGGCACTGCTATGTTCAAGAGAAAGCCATTTGCTGTTTGGTAAAACAATTCCCCTTGGCTCCTCATTAATCCAGGGCTGAGAAGCCCTTTAGAAGAGGGGAGACTGAAGTTGTGACTTCTGGGGGGGGGGGAGCACCCCTGACTCCCTACAAAGGGAGAGGACGATCTTTGCCTGGGAAGAGAGAGGGGACTTTTAACTCTGGAAGGAAGAGCACATTTCTGTGGTGGCAGGTTTCTGGAGTAAAGGGGTTCCATCATTTCTCAGCACCGTAAGAAATACAAACTTAACCTGTAAAAGTTCCTGCAGGCAGTGGAAACCCTCCAGCATGTCAGGAAGAGACACAACACAGATACAGTTAAATGCACACACACACCTATGGCCAAAGTCATGAAGAGTCACTCCACACCCCCTGCACCCCAGGGTCAATGACTGGTTTGGGCTGGCCTCTAACCACAGAGGGGTGTAAGCAGCTCAGCGTGACCCTCATGCTCCCATGCAGCTGCTGTAAACGTGCTACAGCCATCCGAGCCACCTCCGGGACTGCAAGGGGGAGGGTTAAATTTTGCTGTCCAACAGGGGGACACAGCAGCCATTGGCAGGACCAGGCCCTTCTGGGACACCGGGCTCTCTCTACACTCTGCGTAGGCAGAAACTGCTTTCCCCTTGTCAGTTTGCTACTTAAAAAAATGAAGCCTGGAAATGCCTGATGCTCAGCAGCTCTTTTTCTGCAGGCAGGAGCAGTAATCAGAAGACAGAAAGCTGCTGATCCTGATGGCCTCAGAGTGTGTAATATCCTTTTGCTAATGCAGGCAGCCAAGAAAGCAATAGGAACATCTTCCTGCTCAGGGAGTAAGAGGACTTCAAAACCCCAGTGTGTCTCATGATCTGCTATGATGGAATGAGTCACTGTATGAATTTGGTGGGCATGAGCATCTCTGCTGTTCCTGTGATTATAGCTCATTTGAGAGCATCATGCCCTCTCCCACCAAGGAATTTGCCATTTCTAGACGCACCACACGAATCCGCTTCCTGTTGTCTCCTTGGCCAGCTGAGCAGTGCCCATGGCACAAACACCACCTCTCCTCCTGACAAGGCTTTATTTAGCACAGAGCAGCAGCAGGCAGACATGCACCTCTGGCAGTAGCAGCTCATGCGGCCAGCAGCCCTAAGAGCAGCTCTTTAATAGCATAGGAGCCAGCCCGAGACCCTACAGCAAAACCTGCCACACCAGGAGAAGCTGTTGGTCTCAGCTCACATGCACCTGTGCCTCAGTTCAGCACCAGCACTCCCCAAGGCATCTCTTGTCGCTGCTTGGTGCAGAGTGGCAACAAGCAGCACAGAGCACCTGGCATCTTCTCCCAGGGGTGCACACACACACACACGTACACATGGAACCCTGCAGAGGTTTCATGGCAGGAAAGGAGAGAGCGTTCACCTTGGCCATTTCCTAAGCACAGTGTATTAGTCATATCTTGCCAGGGAGGAGAGTATCACTGTCTGCTCCTTGTCTTTCTCTCTCCATTGCTGCAGCCCCACCCAGTCCCAGCACAGCAGGAAAACCAGGACATTACAACCACCACTGAAGGGAGATTTTATAAATGGTGAAAGAAAGAGGCACTAGGCCCTCCATAAGGGGAAAATTCCTCCCAATTAAACGGCAGGAGGAGCAGAAAGGGCATGTTTGTGAACTGGTTTGGGTTAAAAGTCATCGTGTAGGGGACGTGTTGTCTCTTGTTTGAAACTGCAGCAACAAGATGACCACCCCTTGAAGATACTATTTACTGCTACATCAGTTTTCCCTTTTATTCCTGGTCAAATTGCACTGACCACCCAAGCACTCCAAGAGAGCAGACCACCAGCGGAGCTAATTGCTGCAAAGAGCAATTAGCACACCCCACATCTCCAGGCGCAGAGTGGAAGAAATCTGCACTCTTGCCTGAGAAAGGCAGCAGCACCACCCAGAGGCTGAGGCTGTGTGGCCCATGGGGATGCTGTAAGGCAGTAATTGTACCCTAATCACAGACACTGCAGAAGCAACAAATTAAAACAAGAGAAACAGCTTCTAAGCAATTGCTTCATTCTGAAAGACACTGTGCTACAGACTGCACAGACACCACCTCATGATAGTCTTGCATAAGGGGAACTAATTTCCTTTTAGGAGTGGGAAAGGGTGACTGGAGTCACTCAGCACCCCTCATGACACAAAGTGGAATGGGATGAGGCATGAGGAGTTGTGGGCATTTCTCTTTATGACGTGGCAAAACAACTGTGGTGGCACAACAGCTGTTTAAAACACCCTGTTAACAGAACCGCCTGTGCCACCTTCTGTGCTCTTGCTGCAAGCACGGAACCCCAGCCCACCCCACGCCTCCAGTCCTACCTTGCTGAATACCCCTCCAGGATGAGCCCTCCTGGCTTAATTCATGTTCCAACTTCAACTCACATCTCCTGAAATAGAGCAGCCAGAGGCACACATAGGTCTGAGGACCAGGCCTCATAAATGGGCACCACCCCATCCCTGTCTTACCCAGTGCATCCCAGGAGTGCATCTGCCCTCCCCACCTTAGCAGTGGCACTGGCTCATCAAACTGCTACTGAGCCACCCAGGCCTATCTCCTTGGTATATGCCCATATCTGTGGCATTTTTAGCTGAAGTCCCTGCTCTGAGCCAAGGTCAAGCCCTCAGCTTCAGTCTTGCACAACCAGTGCCTTGCTGCAGCATGAAAATCAGGCATGTTGCTGGGGCTGGAAGGAGAGACCTTCCTTTCTAGGCAAGGGAACACCAGAGCGTCTTGTACTGCACTTCCCTGGGGCTTGGTGACTCCATGGCCCCACTGCCCACAGAGCCAAGCAGCTTGAATTAGATTCACTTAAATTACAAGAGTTGAAGTCACAGCGCACTGTGCTGAGCCCTGAGAGCCACCGAGCGGCAAGCAAACGTTTAGGTGCAAGCAAACGTTTTCACATGGCCAGATACAGGCGTGTTTGAAACTGGTAACGTGTAACTTTCAACCCTAAATCCTACAGGGTAAGAAAAAGGGGACACACGTGCTTTCTTTTTGACATGTCTGTGATGTAAGACACAACCTACTCTACAGCACATGGAAGAAATATCCCACACCACTGCAGTAGCCCACCTCTGTCTTTATAGGCAAGGCAGAAAGGGGAAAGATTTCCACTACCTTCGGGGTAAGTGGAAGCAGATACAGGAGAGCACAGAAAAGCTCTGAGCCAATTTATACCTCCAGCTGATCTTCTTAAGCAGGCCTGACTGGTAATGAGGCAGCAGCTGGGTGAGCAAGGTGAATGCAAGTTACCTGGTGGCAAAGGCCTTGCTCTGTTTGCCCCAGCACTTTGCAAGTGATGAGAAAGTGCAGCCTGTCTGGCAAAGCTAAGAAAGGTCACTAATCATCCCAGTGGGTGCAGCGAGGTGTACCACAGACCCTGAAGCAGTGCTGGGAGCACACACCTCCACGCACAGACCACAGCTGACATACAGTACCTGGTAACCTGAAGTTCTGCAACTTCAGCTCTCAGGGTGCCACAGGCAGGAGCAGTCTGCAGCACCCTCCTGCAGCACACCACAACCAGGCTGGCAAGATCAGTGACACAGAACAAGGTTCTTCCCCAACTTTCTTCTCAGCCTGGTCCTTCAGACCAGGATCTGAGGAATCCATATAACCCACCCAGCTCACAGTACCCCTTCACTTTTGGTACACAGAGTAAGTACAGAATCTTAAGCTTTATTTTTCTATTGGCCAGCAACATAAACTGGTTAAAAAAAAAAAAAAAGCAGTGAATATTATTACACAGAGAAAAAGTATAAAACAACTCAATGGACACAAGCCAGCTTAACTGTTCATATCTCATTCTTTCTGGCCTCTCCCAACCCTGTACAATGTATGTGAAGGGAATGGGCAAAGGCAGCTGTGAAGATATGCTTAAGAAACTAGAAATATTGCCTCAAGCAACATGCTCAATGTTTTCCTCTTAGTTAGTAGTCAATACTTATCAGGAACTTGATTATAAAACAAGAAATAGAGTTTTCTCCTTTAGATCATTATACAATAATTTAGATTTCTTTCTCCTCTTTCCTTCTGCTGTGGAACCAAGGATACGCATCAGTTCTTCCCCCTCTCTTTCTGCATTTGTTAAGGATTCTTTCATGGGGCTGATGATGGGGGAGTTTCAGATTGATCTGCTCTGAATTTTAACTTGTCACCCTTTAGTGTTAGTTCAAGATCTCTGCTCTGTGAACTAAAAACCCCACAATACTGCAAGACCCTTTAGGCTTCTGGATGATTTTGCTCATGTTAGCTGCCGGCTGCCAAGAGTCAGGGCTCAGCCAGCACCACTAAAAGGCCAGGCCATTTATAAAAGGGCTTGTCTTCACGGCTTAGAAACACCAAAGCCCCACAGCTCTTTCTGCTTCATGGGCTAAAACAAAGGTGAGGGCAAGACAAGAGGCACACAAGATCCTGTGACATGCTAAGACCCTGTTGGCATCATGATGGCACAAAGTCCACGGCAGTGGTGATGTCTATGTCCTGTAGGTATCCAGAATCCCAGTACAGAGAGAATAATTAATTAAAATCTATTAACAGACAGTTAACCCAGCACTGCAAATTTACCAAGTGCACTGGGGCAAGTGGCTGATGTCAACTCTCCTACCTTGTCAGCAGTGACCAGTCAAGTGGGCTTCCAGATCCCATTAAAGCCAGAAGACCCTCAACTGATTAATGAGCTCTTTGGAGGCTGATGAAACATTTGTATATATTAATTTCCTGCACAAGAGAGACAAGCCTGGAAGTTTTAATTAGAAAAATCAAGCCAAGGGCATCTCTCAGCATTTAAGAGATACGAGAATGCGTTTCCACTAACTGAACAGGCCAAAGGGTAGCAATACATGCCAGCTCCCGAAACAGACCAGTTCTTCACCAAACCTCAGCAGGGGATAGGTAGGAGGAAAGAGAAGTTCTCTCACTCATACTGGAAGCCACTCAGTAAAACAGACTAGACCCATAAGAATTAGACAATAGTCCATCATCTTAGCTCCAGAATCACTAGGAGGCAAAAGACTTCTCATGGCTCTTAATGGCACTGTGCTGGGGGAAGCTTCAAGGAAGAGGAGGAAGGATTGCTGAGAAGTCCTAAGGCACCCACATCTTGGCAACACCAGTCATGACAAGATTTCAACTGCACCAAGTTGTGCTCCCAGTCAGGAGGAAGAGTAGCTCCTGCCCCAGGCAACCAGGCAGGCATCTTCTCAGGTGGAGAACAGCCAAGGACATTGGTGCATGCTTGGGAGGAGGGAGAGAAATCTTCCATGTATGAGACACTCAGCTCTGGCTCCAGCTCAGCACAGAAACATCATCTGTCCTCACAGTCAATGGCTGGTGCTGCTGAGCCACTTCTCAGAGAGAAAACCATGGTTGTTGTATAGCATCCTGATACCTTCATGCTGACTCACAAAAAACCTCAAGAGAAATGGCCCTGGATAAATCTTGCTTCATAGTTGTATCAAGGCACTGTTTCGCTAAAGCTTCTAGCAGAAGATCCACAGCTCTTTTGTTTCTTGATAGTGAAGAGGACCAGCTGAACTCCTAGCTGCCTTCTACATAACAAGGAGAGTAACCTTCCCCCAAAGGGGCATGTAAGGCGCTGCGTGGTTTGAAAGGCATTTAATTACAGAGCCAGTCCTCAGGTTTACAGACACTTCTGTGGTGGTGGTGGAGGAGAGTGGTCAGGTTGGCAGGCACTAAGGGAAGAGGCAGAGGGGAAGCAACAGAGTTCCCGCAGCTACTAATATGGTTCTGACTTTAAACTCTTGTACAAGCAGCAGGTGAAAATCATCCCAAAGATCTATGGGGTGTAAAGAGAAGAGAGAAATGCATGAAAAAACAGAATGGATGCACTGGAGCTTGCAAACTAACAGTCTGGACCCAGCAACTAGCTCCTGCCTGGGGATACCGCATTCCAGTTTGCAATAAATAGCTGGAGATAACACAGTATGTGCCAATCCTCAAAATCAATCACCAGCAGCTTCTCTGGGGTGTAATGTGGCTACTTGCCAGAACAAAGGGGAAGATGAGGAACTCCCAGAGAGACATCTGCATTTGGAATAAAAGAATATCCTGTGCCTTGCCTTCTAAAATGGGAGGGAGAGACATCCATATCCTACCTCTTTATTTGTCATCCTCTCCCAAATCCTTTGCAGAAGCACAATGCTATTCTTCAACATGACACAGCCAAGGGAGAAATTCTGGATGGCTTAAAATAATCCTAATGGCCAGGTTAGGGAACTCCAGACTGGCTTTTCAGTGCGTGGGCAATCACGGCAAATCCCCACAAGAGGTCTCCCTCAGGCTGCCAAACCACCTGCCATGGGCAGCGCTGCCCTTCCCACAGCCCTGGAGTAGAAGTCTCTCCCCCTTGCCCAGCTGCACTCTGTCATCAGAAGCAAATTTTACAGACCGGCAGAAGAGGCTTTTGCTTTGAAGCCAGTGAGTCCTCGGGTACCGAAGTTCTTGGCAACTTTTTCTTGCCACGCAGGGAAGAGCCTAAAATCTCTTTCTTTTCCATCCCTGAGTTTCAGGGTTCCTTTAACTTCTGCCCGGCACCCCCGAAACTCCACTCAGCCTTTTTACCTGCACGCAAGCAATGCTGATCCCCACTGCCCCGATAATTTTCAGATGCTCTTGAATGAAGTTTTCCAGCTTGGTAATGCAACCGCTCTGCAGGGTGAAAGGAGGGACATGGAAAAATCAGTCTCATTTTAACCTCTTGTTCACTTTAATCCAATGGTTGCAACCCTTGAAAGCAATGCTGCAAAAAGCCGCCTGTGAGCAGGCTCTTCCCCTGACATCACTGGAAAAGCTGCATCATGTTTTGTATTGCTCTGGACCTACAGCTCAGGAGCTGTTGAACAAACCCAAGACAGCTGCTAGCTGAGCAGGAGAAATGCAGAACTGGTCACAACACACACAGAGAGCGTGTCATTTTCCCCTCTGAGATATGTGGAGAAAGGTTCCCTCATTCACTGTCCAGCACATGCCTGGAGAGGGTATTTATTCTCATCAGGCCAAAAGGCCACAGAAATGCAGCTAAGTTTCCCCCTATCACCAGCATACTCTGGAGTAACAAATACAACTTATTCTTTTTCTCTATATCAACATTTAATAGCCCAGATGGCTGAATGCTCAACTAGAGAAATGAACTCTGCTTTCCAGGCAATCCTACTGACTCTGAAACCTACTGACAGTTTGCAGCAATAACCTAACACCGTCACCCCCTGCCCACCTCCTTTACATACTTTGTGACAGGCAGCTCTGAAGCCCTTTTGCTCCTTACCTCCTTGTAGATGTTGGAAGGATGGTCTCTTCGGCCACACAGGTCAGTTATCGTCTTACAGCAGCTGTCTGGGACTTTCCGTCCACTGGCCTCTGGAGATCTGATCCACAGGCTGTCAGCCCAGTCTGTGTAATTGTTGCTCCCACAGCACTTGAACTGCAGGTAAACAGAGCAAATGCTGAGCCTGCAAGCACTGCAACCTCCTCACTCCAGCCTCCCACACCAAGCCCTGGTATTCACCTTCATTCACAGAGAGACTCCAGCAATCTCATGGGCTTTTTTTTTAGGCTACTATAATTATTAGTGACTTTTAAAGAGTCCCAAAGTGGCCACTAAATACCATCTTCATCCATTTTTCAGCAGCTGTTGACTTTTGGTTACTGCTGGGATTAACTGTGATCAGAGCACACCTGCAGCTGCCTCAGTTTTTAACCACTGGACTGGAGAGTGTTAATGGTGGTAACAGGGCAATTTTAATTACCAGTTAGTATTACAACTAATGAGTAGATCCAGTACAAATGCACCTGCTATGGCAGTATGTGTATAGTAGGCCCCATGCTTTGAAAGTGCCTGTGCACTACTGTGGGAAAGCCTGTCAGAACTGCAACAGCCCTAATGTGAACCAGGCAAATTAGCAACAGCAGGAATGCTCTTCTTTCATTACATCTTGGTCTCTAGGGTACTGAGTAGCTTAATGAAAAATGTCAGCAATTTCTCTAAGGTTTGAAGTGGGAAGGAGAAACAGCTGTCAAAGTGTCTTGGCAGCTCCAGCTCACTCTGGGAGCAATTCAGATGTTGTTTCCTCAGTGCTACTGAGCATCAAAATTCAGAGATCACACCATGCAATTCTGTCAGTTGCATGGCCCAAGCCTTGCACCCACCCAATCTTGTTTGGGTCAGAAGCAGCAGCATACAGAAGAAATGCTTGTATGTTGGATGTCAAGAGTCCACAATGCCTTTTGCATGTTTGATTTTAAGCCCTGCAATTAATTCTCCCTGCTTCTAAAGATACCTACTTCCTGCTGCAATTTGTCTACTGCACTGGTAACACTTTCTTCTCCCTCCTTCCGGTACTTCTGGGTCATGGTGTTCTTCAAATTTTGCTTCAGTTCCATGCTCAGCTGAATGGAAGAGATAAGTGGGATAAAATCACAAGGCAAACTCGCCCCTCACAGCAACCCAGAGCCCTGCATACATTTTGTTGCCTTTGCTCCAACAGGAAAGCAGAGCCTAGTGGAAGCTACAGCTTCCTACAAGATCATCCTCCAAGGTTGTACTGGACAGGCTTATTCCCAAGCGATTACAGATTATGCCTCCATTTTAATAACTGGAAGGAAGTGCCTCAGGACAAATTTCAGCCTATATTACACATCACCATGTGGTTCTTAACCTTGAATATATAAGATTGCCAAACCATGCCTGCATCAAAACAGAGTACAAAACTGCCTGCTTAAATATGAATATGCCTATGAGACCATGTGCAGTCTTCACTCTCTGAAGCCTGTGTGACAGAATACTAAAAACCAAATGACTCTGTCCAGAAGCAGGAAGAAGTCCTGGGCATGCTGGACTGAAGCTCTACAGTCTGAATAGCTCTTGTATCAGCATCAAAAAGGACGCTACAGGAGGGAATCAAGTGTGCAATTGCAAAACTACTGCAAGGCCTTTCTTGATAAGAGAGACAAAGTCTGATTTTGCAAGTACAAAATTTCTGAAAACATCATCATAAACCACTGGCATGTTCAGGTGACTGGATTCAGACATTTATTCCTGTGTACGCTCTTTTAACGTAGCTGAATTCTTCTCACCCATCCTGGTGACAGCCAAAAAGTGCCAAAGAGCCACATCTGTTTTGTCATCCTGGTTCATACAGCAATACTGCTTTAGTCCAACACCTGTGAAATTCTAAGTTTTCTATACCAGTAAGTAACATCAATATGCATTTTAGACGGGGCCAATGACTGGAACAGGCGTGTAGCCTCTACCTTTTATTCTACAAAGTAGTAAATGAGAGAAGTCAAGCACCTGGTTATGCTGAACTGTGCAGAATACAGTCTGCAGTTTATTCTCCCTTTAAAACACTGTTTTTTCCAACCCCATGTGTCAAATGGGGACAACACCTACCTCACAGAGATGACATGAGGCTTCATTTAGTAATATTTGCAAAGTGCTTTGAGATTCTGGACTGGGAAGCTCTACAGAAGTGCAAATGACTTAGTGTAATAAAAAGAAAGGAAAAGGTTCAGCAGCTGGAAGGCACAGGCAAACAAAGAGGAGAGTCCATTAGCAGAATTGTTACTTGGGAGAAAAGCCATTACCTGCGGGCTCACAGGGAAGAACTGCAGCATGGCACAGAGATAACATAAAAAATAGTTTAGATACACATGCATAAGCCTTAGAGGCCAAAGCAAGGACGGAAATAAAAATGGAGGCAAATAGAGCAAGCAGCCTGCAACCAAGACAGAAGGGGGATTCATCAGCAAGAGAGCAAAGGGAAGTGCAGTTATTGATCAGAGATGCCCCCAAGTGATCTAAAGCACTCAAGGGTACAGCTGTAAATATGCTGTCCCTTATTTCAACCTAAGGATCAGCTTATCTTCATCCACTGTCATGTATGAACCTCTTGCCTTTGCACAGATGGATGGACAGACCCTGGTTTCTCACCATGCCTGGCAGGATTGGTCTTTCCCTGTTAAATAGGCACACACCCTATCACTGATCCCTTCTGGCAGGAGTCAGCACAGCTCTTTGGCTCCTCACAAACTGCCAGTGCCCATCTTAGAGAGGCCAAGCACAGAAGGCCCAAAAGAAAAAGGAACAGCAAAGAATCCCAGCACTGAAGCCATCAAGATGGGATGTCCAGCTGCTTTTCACAAAGTCATTACCATTCCCAGTCAGTTTCCAGACACTGCAGGTTGTCTGTGCCTTGGTGGTTAAATTCCCTTCAAAAACAAAGCAATGACTTAAGTCTCTGCAACTGCAAAAAGTGCTGAACTAGAATTGCAGCTGCTGGGAGCCTGTGCTGTCCTCCAGTCCCTCAGCTGGCCTACTAAATAAAGATCTTGAAAACTTCTTGACCTCAAAGGAGCTCTCAGCTGGACCATTCATTATCTCTGCCAGTTCAAAAGTACAGTATCTTGTTTGCTGGATGCAGCAGGAACTGTTCCTATGTCCTGAATATACTAAGTGGCACTAACATAATTTCAGCTGCTTGCAGTATGCCTTGAAGGGCCTTAGGAGAGTTCCTAAATTGACACAGTGTCAAAAATTGTCTTGTATAAGGCTCTGCAGAAAAGCATCAGAAAAGCAGACACAAAGGTGAACCACAGAAAAGAGCTGAGCAGCCTCTCTACAGCAACCACCACCACTTTGTCAAAACCAGTAAATAATCCAAGGTCTTCTGTATGAGGAGGGGAGTGAGTACAAACAGGAGAAAAGGTGAACCACAACCAAACCCTTGGTCCCAGGCCTCCAAGCCCAATTCTGGCTCAAGAAATGGGATGATAATCAGCTGTCTTCTGTCCCTGATTTGAGTCTAAGTCCACTCACCTGTTGGTAGTAGATATAGGCCAGAATTCCAGCAATGATCTCCAGGAGGAAGATGCACAGCAACAATATGAAGTACTGTAAAATAATGGGAAAATCAGAACATTAAAACAGGATATAAGGAGATGCTGAGAACCAGCTTTTCCTTAACTGGCAAAATGCATGATTGTCCTCATTGATGCTTTTCTGCAGCAGTATTCAAAGGCAGGGGCTGGGATTAAGACCTCAACAGCTAAGAAAGGAGCAATTCCACAGGTTAAAAAAAAAAAAACAAACTAACCACAGGATAACTGAAGACAAGCAGCAGCAAGCTTAAGTTTAACTCACAGAGCCAGAGCAATGTAGAAAATGGAAAAGTGCAGGGAATTGAGATAAGATCACTGGACAAAAGAAAGTGGTTGTTGGATAACCTGATGACTATACTCAATATCATAGAAAACATCTGACTCTGACATCAATATGTTTTTAAAAAAATTACACTTTTGCTTGTTTTGATATTTTTTAGGCATTTCACCTATTTATTAAGAAGCAATGTATATTATAATGATGATTTGAAGCAACAAAGGTCCCATTTCACCAAGGACATAGCAAGGATATAGCTAAGCATAAGCCATAGACTTATGTTCCCAGAGACTTCTGTGGGGCTCAACCACAGGCTGAAGGGCACTATCAAAGTGGATGGACTTTAACACACTCGGGACTGTGACTATATGTTCTGCTGAACTAGGATCTAGGGGGAAAAGCTCAGCATCTCAGAGCAATGTAAGAAGAACTCTTAGAGAATTAAGAGGAGAACATGACTAATTCTTAAAAGGGCTTAATGGCAGTGAAATGAAAAGCCATGTACCCTGCTTACCAGAAGGAAAATCAAATGGACAGTACAGAAAACTGTTTGGGAGTATTGTTCCTACACACAAATAGGGAGGAAAGCCAAACCACGGGTGCTAGATTTCAAGGACTGGGCAGGCCTGAAGACAGAGGGTGATGCAGCACTTCCTCCTTAGGGTAAAAGAGATTTTTAGGGAGAACTGCTGTCCTGAAACACAGCCCCTGCCTTGCTCTTCATCAGCAATGGACAGTTGCTTTACAGATCCAGGCTGTTTTATGACTGGTGTAAAACTGATCTCTCTGCAGATAAAGCTGAAGAGACATCAGTCCCAGCCGTAACAAGAACCTCATGTTAAGTTCCTGTAAGAGGTGACCTCCCCAGGACAGAATAAACAGAATAGTTCCATTTTCTCTTTTACCTCAACTTTACGAAAGAGCTGTTCCCAAGGAATGAAGCAAACAGATCCCTGCAAATGTAAGTGGACATCAAACTGTCTCTCCTTGGCACAAAGAAGGACAGCAAAGGCCTGGATACAGCAAGCTGACCTACACAGCACAGACGCCTTCTGTTGCACAACAGTAACGCTCCTACTATGAATCCTCCTTCACTAGGTGTTTCCAAGCCCTTTTGCAGAAGTAAAACGACACAAACACTCAGGCTTCCTCTTTCACCCTGCTGGGATTCAGCAGCTGCTAAGGATGGACAGCTGGGTTTTATCTGCAGACTGGGCTTTAATCTAAGCACACAATCTCAGGCATTTACTCCCAACCCCACACTCTCCCCCGCAGCCAAACACTGACCATCTCTGCAGATGCCTGTACAAGGTACCCATTCATACCAGGGGAATGAGTCACCCAGTGGAGTGTGGGATAGCTGAAGGCTGGTCCCAACACTCACACTCACAGGAGGTTGAAAGGGGGCATGATCAGCATGCCTTGACACAAAGGCTGGCTTTCTTTTGTTGGGACCTAGTTATACCCTAACTGCTCTGACATCATTCCTCTGCCAAGGAGGGGGCAGGAGGGTGGCAGGTTGCTGACAACAACCAATGAACTGGAAACTTTATTTTTCCCTGCTCTGTGTCATCATGTCAGGGGCATTCAGGTAGAGCTGAGCTGTGGTGACACAGCTCAGCTCATTGTGCTGGCTTACAGTGGATGAAAACAAACGTACCAAGCAGACCTTAACAAATTTGAGTCACAAGGCCCTTGTGAAATTTTCTAAGGGAGGTTAGTGCCTCTGCCACCCATGAATCTAATCCGTCTCTGCTGATACACTGCATCATTAACCTTATCTCTGTCTCATCACTCCCTCAGGGCTACTTCCAAGTATCGTGCTGATATTGGGAAGCAGAGGCTTTCACTCTGGACACACACAGAGCACAGGGCTGCTTCCCTTGCTCTTCATCAGGAGTTGCAGGGCTTTCTTAGAGGTTTGCTCTGGGAGGAGTAGGCCTGCTCTGACATGGAGCTGCAGGGACATGCTCCACTCACTTCCCAAGAGGCTGCGGAACAAGTCAGAAATGTGGGATCACCCAAAGGCCTGTAGCAGACATATGCTTGGGCGGGTTCTGAGCAAAATTCACTCTTACTCTGGATCCCAGGCAGAGTCAGGGCAATCTGATGTCTCCTAAAGATCTGCATAGCTCAGGTTTCTTCCATCCACCTTCAAGAGTTTGAGTAAAGCACCAAGCTTTGTTTTCTGTGATTAACCCAAAAATGCTTCAACCCACCTACTATCCAAATCACTCTCTGGAGTGCTCTTTCTACTGCCTGAAGAAGAGACATGTAGCACCTATACTCATAGGTCAGCAATTTCACTCCAGTGAGATGGCTCCAGGCTGAAATGCAGCCAGAACAGAAATCATAACCAATGGATGTTCCCTTCTCCCTGTCTAAGCTAGCAGCTAACTAGAAGTGGCAGCATAAAGGCCAAGCCTGAAGAAAGTCACCTTCTTTCTTTATGTGCAAGGTCTTTATTTGATGGGTCCTTTCCCAAAGACTCTTGCTTGCATACTTCTGTGTATGAAAACATGAACCTTGACTGAAGCGCAATATAATAGTAGTTTGTGTGTTTGTAAAGAACTGGACTGCAGCATCACAGCCAGCCAGGCTGCAGATACACTGCCATGCCTGCTCACAGAGCCAGAGAAACTCCACATTCACTGCCCAAGCCTCAGCACATGACCTGGCTAAGGAGGGACAGGGAAGGCAAATAAGCAATGACACAAAAAGTAGCACAGCTGTGAGTGATGAGCCATTAAATACTATTAAAAGCCTTGAAGTGGGCCTATAAAACTCAGAAAGGCAGCAAAAAAATTCACAGCTTCCCAAGTCTTCAACAGAAAAACAAACTAAAAACCAGGTATACATTTTACAAACAGCACCCAAAGCTGTCACCAAAAAGGCACTGGGGAGAGCAGAGAGTGCTGCTTACAGAGTTCCCCCCCATATTTATGTCGGCCTCTGGTACAGATTGAAACTGGAGAAGGCTGACACAGACCCTGAGGCACTGACTGTGAAACTGTCACATTACTGTCTGAGCTCAGAGCTGGCAAAGGCCCCCACCCAGTCTCACCCAGCCCTGGCAAGCACAGCCCTTTTGTGCAGATTACTCACCAGCAGCCAAAGCAGAGCACAAGCAAGAAAAGACAATAGGCCTGTCACAACCAGCCACTCTAAAAGGATGCATGGTGTAAGGAGACAAAATGACCTTTTCTTCCCAAGAGACAATTATTGATTTTGTGTGGCAGAGTAGCAAAGAAAACCCCACCAGATTTTCATCTGTAGCTTCTGGCTGAGGCAAAAAGACAAAGGGAGATCTCTTTGGCATGGAGAGTAAGTGAAACAAGGCCAAAACAGACCACTACAGACCAGGAGTCTAATGAACAAGCAACAGCAGTACACCCACTGCATCCTCCTCTGTGTTTTATTTTCCCTTCTTGGCTATACTGTTCCTTTCATATGGATTACCAGGCTTTCAAAGCAGTGGTACAAGCATCAAGCTTGCTCATGACTCCTATTTCTGCTCCTCTATCCAAACCAAAGAGGGGAAATGGGACATTCGGGTGAATGAACACTTCCAAAGGAAGGAGCTGATCAAGAGTTACTGAAGTACCTTTTTCTCTAACTGTGAAAGTAAAGAGCCACTGATAGTTACTTCAGTCACTGCGCTCACTTTAGCCCCGAAACTAAAAATATCTGCTGCTACACTGAGATTTAAAGGGAGATTTAGAGGGAGGAAGCAGAAAGGAAATCCTAGGGCTGGTCAAAATCTTCAGTGTAGGTGGGCAAGCAGTTTGCCCAGGAAGTAACACAGGGAATGGCATAAAAGCAGCAACAGATTAGCAAAACAGTGTGGCTTTTTTGTGGAAGCAAAACTAAGTTGTTTTGGGGGTTTTTGTGCAACTAAAGAAAATACTCATGGGAAATACTCTGCTTTTTGACAGCCAAGTGGAAAAGTGTGTTCATTTGGCTTGAACGCACTGTCATTAACAGACAGTTTTGCTACAGCTCTTCCCAAAGAGAATGTGGGATGGACAGGGAAGAAGGAAGAAAGAAAAGGCACAAGATTTTGTTTTGAATAGTTTCAAACAGACATTCTTACACAAGATACCAGTATTATGACTATAATTTGTGCTTCCGAACCATGCAGTGGTAAGCACATTCTTTATGTGGATGAAAGGAAATACTCTGCCTGTCCCCCAGGACACAGACAGTACTGCTGTTAGGAGCTGGAGGCCTTACTGGTATTTGCTCTAGGACAAATAAGGTTGGCACAGAACACAACCAAGATGTTTCCCTCCCTCTCAGCATGTTTCAAGAGAAAATGGGGTGAATTCTCCCCAAAATAAAACAACCAAGTGAAACTTACCACTCTTAGCAAATTCCGACGCTCTTTGAAGGTGGCACAGCAACCAAGGATGCCAGTAACCATCACAACCACCCCAGCCACCACCAGAATATAAGCCGTTGCAGAATACGTGCTGGAGGAAAGCAGGCTGATGTAGTCACTCTTCTCAGCTAGGGTCCAGGCACCTACTGCCATCACAGCCCCACCAGCCAGCTGGGCAGAGAGAGAAAGAAGCAACCAAATGAAGGACATCTGATGCTTCAGTTTCCTAATCTCCCAGAGCAACTGGACTGGGATGCCACGATGTGCTTCAGCTCCGTAAAATGAGCCAGAGATTATCTACACTGAAGGAAGGACTCCCAGAGGTCTCACCAGAATGGGAGAAGGCCCCAGTACACTGTGAGGGACTGGGCTTCAAGGCAGCCAGCTTAGCACCCCAGGCAGCCTTAGATACAAGTCATCTGAAACATCTATCTGTGTACAGCAATTCACACCTGAGCCTTCCCAAATGTAGTGACGCTGTTATCTGGGCAACTTATGAAGAAAGTATCAAATCTACTGGGGTGCTATAGGGGAAACAGCTTCACATCAGCAGGCTTTCAACGTACTGAATGTGAGGGAGCAATGCTACCGATCAATGACAGCCATGCCCTACATCTGCTTCCTAGAGTGCACATCTGGGGAGAAAGCAGTCAAGCAGCCATCCTGGCCAGTTAAACTCTAACCCTTGCAGAAAATGAACATGGAGAAGAAGCCAACCAGACCCCTGGAGGTCCCTTCTCTCCTTGCAAGCCTGGTGTTTCTGGAGAGTTTTATGCAGCTTCTAGTAAATTCAGTTAGTTTTCCTTAAAGGTCTGACCTGGAAGCTCTGGCCCAGGAAGCAAAGGAAAAAACAATTCTCTGTTACTGGTAACTTTCTGGTGGAAAGGACAACTCTGGGAAGTTCTAGTGTGGACCCAGCTGCAAGAAGGTGTTTGTTATCCTTGCTCTAGGTGTTCTACTCCACTGCCAGGACTCCCTCTGCCATTTTGTGAGGAGGAATGGCAAGTCAGTGGAGTCCTCAGGCTCCCTAAAAAAGCAATCCAGGTGAATAAACAAAGCATGCTTTTAGGTTCCCTGTTATTTTCTATACTTGGCAACATGACCTGGAAACAACAGAGACTACCATGTTACACCATAACTTCTGCAGGCTGGGCAGGTAAGCCCAAGGGATGGGGTTTCACCCCACACGATGAAACCTCTTTTTGCCAAGGACTTCATCAAGCCCAAGATTTCTGTGCCCCAACACCAAAACTGAAGTGCCATCTCCATGTGTCTAATATAGACTGAATTTTCTTACCCAGAAAAAGAAGTTGAAGATGAAGAGCAGGTATTTGAGACAGATGGTTCCGCATGTTTCCTTCTTTTCCGTATATTCACGCATCTTCCTGGATCAGCGAGTTCCTGAAAAAAAAAAAAAAAAAAAAAATCAGAAAAGCCTGAATCACTCATCACACCCCTTCTCCCAAAAGGTCAGCATTACTGCTCTCTTCCTGCAAGAACTAACACTTCTGACCTTTTCCTGAAGTAAGACAGTGAGCAAGGCATTCAATTAACTTCAGGAGTGCTAGACAGTGCGTGCTTAGATAAAAATCTCTTGTATCCATGGGAGTGACCTACACAGTGCGAGACCCCACACATATGAAAGGAAGACAGATGGCACCAGCATGTGGCCTTCCTGTACTGCCTTCATCCTCCTTTTCTCTCCCTATCCTGCTGTCATTTCTGGAGACTCATTTCACTTCAGATCAATACTTGCAGTGAATGAATCAGACCTACTGTCATTTGAGTGGTCAAGTCAAAACCAAGAATTATGATCCATGTTATGGTAAGGAAACATCAGCATAGTTAATGCTGACCCCTCCCTATTTGAACTGAAACAAATGAAATCCCAGACCTGTCATCCAGAAAATCCAAGTATCTGGCTCCTAACTGCAGCCCGTAACTGCTGTTTCTGAAGACAGCAACAGAAACCTCTGTCCTTAACATTTATGGAATAATCTGTCTCCAAAGAATACACTTTCCTCACTGGCATTAGTTACAACTGCCTTAAATAGATCCCTCTATACATTTTGGGTATTTTTAATCTTTACAACCGTAACTGGGAATGTTTTTGTTATCCACTCAAATGCCCTATACTTTCTGAACCCCAACAATGTGTTGGAGTCATTAATTTTCTTTTTCACTTTGCTTATTTCTCCTGCACATACATAACAAATGGTAATTCATTGTGGGTCAGTCCCCATGCAGCATACCAGACCTGCTACACTCTTGAGCAGGTTTCTCAGCACTAGGGCTGCAACAAGTGCAGCCCTATGTCACAGGCTGTACATCTAGTGCAACCCATGTCACAGGCTGTACATCTAGTGGCTATCAGGCTAGGTCAGGCAATATTATCTTTGCTGCTACAGTGCTAACATCTGGCTTTAGAGCCAGGTGGATAAGGCTGGGAACAGCAGCTACCCACTCTGCAGCATAGATGTATTTTATTTGCAGGGAACTGTTTCCTTTTGCTTCATGCCAGACCACTCAAAAACCTCAGCCATGCCTGTGCTTCAGAAATTAATAAATGAAGCTAACAGGGAAAACAAGGCTGAGAACAGGCTTCAGTCCCACCCATGCCCGTTCCCAGTCACCACTCTGCAAGAAAACATTTTCTCTAGAAGAACATCTGGCAACAACAGTTGGCAGCAGAAGGCTATTTCACTGCCAAAGGGGCAGCTCTGAGATGGTGGCATATATCAAGGAGAATAACCCTTCAAAGTTATCTTCAGAAGAGATCAGAACCTCCAGCAATGCTCAAATGAATTACCATGCTGCAGCACAAAAAGGCCCAGGGCAGTGGGGAGGGCTGGATGCTGGTGGTACTGTGTGCACTGAAGAGACTTGTAAATTCTCAATGAGAAGACACCCTGTGAATGCAGCGCTCACGGAAGGCGACAGATTTACAGCTCCCAGAGGCTTCATTTAGCCACAGAACAGGCACGGCAGCAGCAAGGCAGGCTCCTGCAGCCACAAATGCCTGCACAACCTAGAAGAGGTACATCTGCCCAGAGCAGAGAGATGCCTTCCAGTAACACCCTTTAAGGACTGTACTTGGCTTTTTGCCCACCCCTTCTAACATCAGGGCTGCATTTAGAGGGAAATGCACCACAGGTTTGCTGAAACTGACCCTGGTTCAGATCACCGACAGCCAGGGGATAGTAACAATGTTCACTGTGCTTGGCCTGGCTACCCTCTTGCTGCAGAAGATTTCAGGAACCTTTTTCCTCCTTCCCCTCAAATTACATCCTCTACCATAAAACAAAGCAAAACAAAAACAACAACAGAAAAAACAACAACAACAAAAAACACACACAAAAAAAAAAACAAAACAAAAATAAAGAAGCCACCACAGTTATTTCCACGTATAAGCACAGAGCAGGTGCCAGGCCATAGCGAGGGATGCTAACTTGTCCCCCTTTCTGATCTGCTCAGAAATCCCAGACCGAGACAGCTGCATCTTATGCTGGGCGAGGGATGGGCAGACACACAGCTGAGACTGTACTTGCATTCAGATAGCAAAAAGTCTGAGATTCCCGTCAAGACTGCAGGTCCTGCTCCACTGAGCACCACATACTGGTCTTTCAGGCCAGCTTGGCTTCACTGCCAGGACGAGAGGATATGTCTGTTTCCAGAAAGCTGGCAGGCAACAGCTGCAGGTTTATAAAGCACAGTGATTCACACAGGGATGGCAGGCCATGAATCAGAAAGCAATCACGGCTGTCTCCTCTTTGATCTATCCTTCCTAGCCACGAGCAGAGCTGGTGGCACTGGCTGCCTCTGCATGCTTAATGACTCATCCAGTGAGCTATTCAGGGAAAGGCAGCTCTCTCTAGACCCTCTTTTTGGAGGTCATGTGTTTGTGCTTCTCGCCTCCCACAGGGTGGGGCTGCCTCCCCTCACCTGCAAAGACAGGCTCTGGCTTTAGGGAGCTACACCGGTCTTCAGGGAAAGCAAGTGAGAGCAGGAGACCCTGGTGAAATGTCTCTCCCAGAGAGCCCAGGCTGTGGAGGGGAGAGCCACAACAGGCTAAGGGTGACCTGGGGCTCTGAGCCTCATGGTCCCAAAAAGCACAGAGGTGTTGATCTGTGCCACAGCACCAAGATGAATATGTGGGGCCTCATCCTGAATTCAGTGACATGACCAGGTTCTCTTGGCTTGAGTCATCTTTATAACAGACCTCCATAAATGAAACAAGCCACTTGTGAAACCAGACAAGAAGCAGCAACATTAAGTAACGCACATGCTTATGCTCTATTTTAAAACACTGAGGCAAAGGTCTATTCTGAATCACATTGATAATTACAAATTATCTCTCCAGTAGACAGAAAATGGCAAGATATGCCACATGGGTGTATTTACAAATGCATAACAACATATTAATTATACATGAGCTTCATAATGGGAAGTGCTTTGCTAACTGAAAAAGTAGTTAGAAGACCAAAAGTACTTCTGTAATGAAGTTCACTTGGTCCAGTCCAATAGACAGTAGCCTCATGGGCAAGTTATATTTAAGCAAGCGGTCATTGGATACAGGCTGTGAAATTGTGCTACAGAATGGAGAGTATTCCTACCTAATTCACCAGTAATTAACAACAGGCTACTACTATTCCCCCCTAGTTGCAATGTAAGTAACAAGGAGAAATCATACTCTAAATGCACAAAGAGGAAAAAAAAAAACAACGACAAACTCAGTGTGACAGAACTTGCACATGAATCCAAATCTCCACTCTGACACTGATTTTCTGCATGAACTCAGGCAAGTCCCTTAGTGTGTCCCTTGCCTCTGCTCTGTCTTCCCAGCAGGACCCTCAACTTTCCCTAAACCCAGTGATGTTACAAGGATCTGCATAGAGAACCCCTGGCGACAGAATAATGCCAGCTGCAAGGCATGACAAGCTCCAGGTTGTTGGTGTATTGGCAAGAGCCCTACCAGCAACACAATTTCAACTGCCTCAAAAGTGCTTGTCAGTATAGGCTACTTTAGCCAGTCAACTGGAGCAACATCTTCTGGGGTTAGTAAAATTCACACTCATTCTGCCCTGTCTGACTGCAAGCCACAACCTTGCAGGTGTGTAAGAACACACAACACATGACTGCCAGGCAAGGCAGGGGTCAATTCAAAAGTTAAACCATTCTATAGCCTGATTTTCCTGGGCTCTCATCCTACTGCACTGAACCCTTATGTCAAACCAGACAACATGAATGCACCAGAAGTTGAGCAATTCAGTTTCAGTTTTGGATGCTGAGCACCTGGGAACACAAGCACTGTGCTAACAGCTGTTTTGTTGTGCTGAGCCATCTAAAATCTCAATGCCAAGGCTAGCTCTGGTTATCCCACATCAGACCACTGTCCCAAATCAGACCACAGTCTTGCACTGACCAAAACAGTATTTTTATTTGCAGGCCTACAGGCACATACCCACATCCCAGCTCAGAATGCACATGGCCTGTACACATGCATGCTCCTGCTGGATAGACAATCGTTTAGTCATCACAGGCACTGCTTGGTACATTTGTCTCAACTTGCATAGTAACAGTACTTAATTAAACAGCAAAGAAAGTCAGGCCTGCAGGCTTTTTCTGTACAACCTGCCTTAAGGCAGCATTTGATGGATGGGGAAGAAACAATGCCAAAACAAATGAAATAGCTCCCAGGCCATTAAAAGCATCATTGCTTTTAAGCATTGATTTTTGAATGATAGCAAGAAAATTGGTATCCACTGCATCAGTGATGTCTACCTCACAGATAACTTGTATGCCAGAAGTCAGGTAACTTCTAACATCTTTGCCAACACACACAAGAAAGACTTGCTGCAGGAAATCTTGCTGCACCTACACAGATATGAAAGTACAGTTCCAAAGGGCTGCAAACCCAACATTGTCAGTCCCCTGCTAATAAAGCCACCTCACACACCCAGTGGGTATGCTGATGGCCTAGAGGGCAAGGCTCAGCTATGCTGGATAATCCTGGCCCTAAGGTAGGTCTTTGCAAATAAGGCAGACACCCTTCCCTGGGTATATGCAATGTAGGTGTGGGCCAATAACCTATTATCTTCAGCAAACTGAGTGAAGACCTCATTCCCCAGTAAGGCAACTCCAACCTTTCCAGCCTTTGAAAACGTGATCTAAGTTCCCTTCCTGTAAGAGCAAAATATTACCATGACCACCACTTACCTACCCCACTGAACATTTTCAGAAAAGGCCTCCAGCTGCTTATCACCTTGCCAGCTCATCTCACACAGCTCAGAATGTGATTCAGTAAAGCCTTCCCAGGAAAGGAATTCTAAATTTTACTGTTGGAAAGCTCCAACACAACTACTGAGCGCAAGTATCCACCCCAAGCCAATAGCAGACATGGGTCAAAGGTCTTGCACTGACCTCTCACCACTAAAGCAGCTCACAGCACCAGTGCAAATGTGGTATCTTCTGTAAGTGCCTTCTTCCACCCCTCTCTTCTTGCTGGCCTTGATCCTCTGCTGGATTCAGGAAAGCAGAAAGCTGAAAAAAAGATATGCAGAAATACATTAACTATGTAAAAAATTATTTTGTGAATCAATATTTGATAACACATTTTGCCGTAATTTTCTCCTTTTAATGAAGTACATGAGTACAGAATACACCTTATGAAAGCATTTGATTAAACTACAGTGTGTGCACTGGATAAGTGGGGAGAAGAGCCAAACCGTGGCACTAGGAGCATGAAGTCATTCTGATGGTAGGAAGCTATCAGAACAGGTTTATATTCGCTGCTGCATTCTGTAAACACAGAGCACCTGCAAAGAAAAAGCACACTAGGAAGCCATCGTTTTCTTCAGGCTCTATCCCTGCTCAAGCATAATCAAGACACAGGTCTTAAGCACCATGGCAGGCACTGCTGGTAAACAGCTTCCTGAATTCACCTGCCACTGCCACCCCCTCTAGAGCAAGCTTCAACTTCCCAGTGTAAACGCACAGTACCTCCCTCAGATAAGCAAAAAGCCACAGCAAAGTGAGTTGGAACTGGAGTTATTTCTCTACAGCCTTATTACATTTATCACAAGAGTCTTAGAATGGTTTGGGTTGGAGGGGACCTCTGAAAATTATCCAGTCTGACCCTCTGCAATGAGCACAGACATCTTCAACTACATCAGGTTGCTCAGAGTCCTGTCTAGCCTGACCTTGAATGTTTCCAGGGATGTGGCATCTACCACCTCTATGGGCAACTTGTTCATGTTTCATCACCCTCATTGTAAAAACTTCTTCCTTAAATCTAGTATGAATCTGCCCTCTTTTAGTTTAAATCCATTACCTTTTTTCCTGTCGCTACAGGCCCTGCTAAAATGTCTGTCACCATCTTTCTTAGAAGTCCCTTCCAATTATTGAAAGGGCACAATAAGATCTCTCTGGACCCTTCTCTTCTCCAGGCTGAACAACCCCAACTCTCTCAGCCATTACTCCTGAGAGAGGTGTTCCCTCTCTCTGATCATTTTCATGGCCCTCCTCTGGACCTGCTCAAACAGGTCCATGTCTTTCTTGTACTGAGGACTTCATAGTCGGATGCAGTGCTTCAGGTGTAGTCTCACCAGAGCAGAACAGAGAGGCCCTCAGACGTGTCAGCCACACCACTTAGCTTGGTGTCATCTGCAAAATTCCTGAGGGTGTGCTTGATCCCCCTGTCCATGTCACTGATGGACAAGTATGGACCACTGAGACACCATTCATCACTGATCTCAATCCAGGCATTTCTGTGGAGGCAACTATGCTGCATAAGGCTGCTGTATGGGAAAATGGCCTCTAGCATCCCCTCTGTCCCCTGCTTTTCTACAATAGAGGGTCCCAAATGTTTTGCAATCATTTGTACCACCACATCCTCAGCCATCCCACCCTCATCCCACAGCAGGCAGGTTCAATTTTCCCTGCAATGCTTCCATTGGTGTTGTGGGCAGCAGGATGCAAAGGGTAAGAGAAAAGCATTCTTCCTCCCTAACTTGTTTGGATACAGAATTTAATGATCCTTTGAGCTATATCCTGACACTAACTTACTTTCTTATCTATTGCCCATAGCAGGGTATGGAAGCAGTAATACTTCCTGACTTGCCTGCGTGGGATAATGAGGTATTGCACCAGGAAGTTACTTTTAATTAGCAGATCAAATTTAACATACTTCATGAATTCATTAACTTCCTATTACTTTCAAAGGGAGGTTCCTACAGGCCTTTACGGAGCATAGTATGGGAGATACACCTTCATTTATAATCAGCTTGGATTACCCCTGCTTCCATTCTCTGTGAAAAGAGCTAGAAACTTGTTGATTCACATACTATGCAACCTCCACTCCACAAAAACATCTCTTGAGAGAAAACAGTGGAAATCCCAGCACCTGAGCCACTGAGAAACAGGCTAAACACAATCCTGGAATCATTAATTAAAGATCAGACAAGGGAGGTTTCTGAGAAACTGGGAAGAGGAGGGAAGGCACAGGCAGTGCGGTCACCTGCAAAGCACACAATAGGTCTGAAGCACCTTCAGCACCAAGGCTGGGCCCAGACTCTTCTTGAGCAGCCCCTGTACCCTCCCATTTAGTCATCTGCTTCATGCTGCTCCCACACTCCTGTCCTTCCAGAAGAGAAAACCCACCCAGGATGCAAAGGTGAACACTTTGCTTTCCATCTCAGCATGCTGGAATGTGCTGGAAAGTCAAATTACTTGTGCTTCTAGGGCTGGGGAGAAGGCAGAACACAAGTCAGACATTCAGTGAGGCAAAGAAGCTCCTTCTCAGGAACTGTCATTTATAGTTGTGTTGTGGCAGGCACACAGAAGAGATTTTTGTCCAAAACCCTTCTCCCTGACCTCCACATGGAAGCTGAACTCATTTGGCACTGCTGAATGAGATTTCCCAGACCACAGTTTGGAAACTGCTTTTATCTCCTGCCTGTTGTCTAAACTGATTACATGCTCCTGAGGGCATGGAGTCATCTTCCTTGACTGCCCAGCGCCTAGCACAAAAGGATCTCACCCTGAGCCTTTTAGGGGCTGCTGAGAAGTGAGAAATACAAAGCAACACTTTAGAGCAACATCACCTGCTCCTACTAGCAATGTGCACAGTGGTTCTGGGAGAGGTGGAGACAACCTGGAAAGCCAGCTACATTCAAGAAGTAGTAAGATCTCCAAGATCTTTAGCAGACCCCACTTGGCTCTATGTCTCAACTGGGATAGCACCTTCCTGAAGAACTCAGGGTAAGCAAGATCATAGCCTGGGAATTTGGGAAGATCTTGCCTCAACATTCTCTTGGTCTAGGCATCACCTCACAGGAGCATTACAGTCCTGCTGTCACCCCTCAAGACACTTGCCAAATCCCTCCTTTCTTCTACCCTGGTTTGAGCTGCTGTGTTTTGAATAGACCCCTCAAGAGACACGAAGACCCTTAACTCCCGCTAATTTTGATGAGTCAGGTATCCAGCACTGTGTGCCTAACACCTCAGGAGCCACCTGCTCTTCAAGATAAAACCTGTCTCTCAGGAGAAGAGCACTTAGCACTTCCACTCATGCTTTTCAAGACTATTTACTCCTCAAGGGAGGGACTTACTGAAGCATAAATAACAGCAAATATACATTTCAAACTCAGCAAGGATTTACTGGACATTTACCTGTGAACTAGATGTTTTCAGAGGAGGTTAGGCAAACCTGGGCAAGGTGATGGCTGGCCTCAGGATCCTTGGGGATAAAAGGGACCTTAGTGTAAATTTCACAACCATTCAGAAAAAGAAAGCATGAGAGAGAAAAGAGTTATCAAGCATGCCTGGGACTGCATGTGTTTGTCCTCCAGCACTGTTCCACTACAAAGCAAACCCTTCATAGGGCTTTCTGGTCCACACAAAACATACACATCCAGAGAGCAGAAAGCCCCTGTCTGCTGCTCCCAGAAGTTGATAAACAGGGAAGTAAGCGGCCTTTCCAAGCACCCAGTCTTCATCAGAAGTGGAAAGCAGGCCAGAGATGGGCATGCACTGTGCAACCAACAGGAACTCTTTCTGTGTCAAACAACATCCTCTTGTATCTCATAAGGCCTCCTTTATCATGAAGGATCCCAAAGCACTTTACAGTATTTATATACAGGAGGCACTTCACTAGTCATTGAACCGAGGAGAGGAACAATAACTGTCTCTTTTTCTCTCACTCAAACCACAAGAAATCAGTGCCTGGTGTGTGTTTGCAGAGAGCTCATAGCAATGAGGGTTTGCCATGGAGAGGAACAATAGTTTAGAGAGGTCAGGGTTAGCCCTCAGACAAGACAAACTTCACTGCAGCCTTCCATTGGCAGTTTAAATTCTATTTTCTCATCTCTGTTCAGGGGCACCATGGGGTCTGTGGGCATTTTTGTTTCATTTGTGTTTTTGTGTGGGGTTGGTTTGTTGTGGATTTTGTTTGTTTTTTTTTTTTTTTACACAGGGCTTTGTCTGCCCTGGAGAACTTACCAGTAGCATTCATCCATATTTCTAAACAAAACAATTTGGGCAGAATCAGCTTCCTGCCTGATCCCTTCCTAATCATTACATTCATTCTCAGCAAAGCTGCTGGGCCCTCAGTGTTTTCAGGGAGTGCTCACAAAACCTCCCTGCCCCATAGCCACGCCAGTACTAGGACTAAGCCAACAAGCACTAAAAATCCTCCCAGCTCTGCCAAAGCCTATTCAGGCAATTCTGTCACATGAATTTAAAGTACTCCCCAAATAACACAGCCATGATAACCATTTGCTCACTCTCTACAAATAGCTGGGTTTTTACACAGTAGTTTGAGCTCAGGGCAAACACTAACCTAAGAACACAAGCTGTGCTGTAGTTAAGTGCACAGTCACTCAAAATTTGGCTGCAGTATCACTGCAGTATCACTGCAGAGGTACTTTCTGTTTCATCCAAGTCTCTGCAGTGAAAAAGTGACAAGCTGAAAGTGGGCAGATTTCCTACCTATCCACAGCATCAGATGCACATCGCATGGCAGGCCATCACCTTCACCTCACCAAGCTCACAAATGAATCATGGGACTTGAAATCCCCCTCTCAAACAAATACATGCAGCAGTAGTGGAAGAGAAGGCAGGCAGCTGGTTTGTCACCACAGGGTACATTTCTAGCCTCCCAAAGACACAATGCTCTATAATCTCACTGCCTGAAAGACCCTTTGCCTCCACAGAGCATCCCAAGGAAGAAAAAAAAAGTGGCATGTTATAATAGGAGCAGAGAGAAACCATATGACTCTTCCAGCAGAGAAAAGGGGTAGATTTGCTCTCCTCACATCTCAACATCCATCCTTCATCTGCCAAGCTGTTCTGTCCTCTGGAAGACATTGCAGAGCACAAAGCTGTAAAACGCAATTTTCAAGCTACTTGTTAGCACTGCCCTGCTGTGCCTGAGACACTTGACTGCAGACAGCACAAAGCAGGAAGTGCCCAGCAAGCTGTCACCAGCTTTAGCTTTCATACAAAACTTGTTTTACTTTGAGTAGTCTGCTCCTGTTCACACT